AAATATCTTCTGTAACATTGTGGTCCTGAATTCCTTTAATGTGCATTTATCTTGGAATGTCTTTATTTTTTTTAATTTGATTTGGAAAGGTAATTTTGCTGGCTATAATAATGTGTGTTGACAGTTACTTTATTTCAGGACTTGAGTACATCACTCTGTGATATCCTGGCCTTTAGAGTTTGTTAGAAAATTTCTGTTCTTCTAATGGGAGTGTCTTTATAAGTGAGTTGGCACTTTTCTCTCACACTGTTCAGTATTCTTTCCTTGTTCTGTACTCTTGGCATTTTAAATGTAATATGGCATGGGGAGATTCTTTTCTGGTCATGAGGTTCTAATGTCTCGTGTACCTGGATGTCCATATCTTTCTCAGGATTTGGGAAATTTCCTGCTATTATTTCACTGAACAGGCTTTTCTGTGCCTTTAGTCTATACCTCAGAACCTACTTCTGTACCCAAAATCTTCAAGTTTGGTCTTTAAATCATGTCCTAGAGGTCTTGCATTTTCTATATGTAATTTCTTATTTTTTCTTTATTACTCTCAGAATGCTCTAACTCATCAATCTTATCTTCAAGCCCTGAAGTCCTCTCTTCTGCTTGATCTAATCAAGGTGAGGCTTTTCACTGAGTCTTTTTATTTGACTTATTGAGTGTTTCATTTACAAGATTTTTTTTCTCAAAATCTCTCTTTATTGGACTTCTCATTCATATCCTATATTGACTTATTTAGTTAGTTCAGCTGTTTTCCTGTTCTTTCTTAGAATTCATTGATCTTTTTAAAAAAATTATCCTTTTGACATCTTTATATGGCATTCCATCCACTTGTATATCTTTGGAGTCAAATGCTGTAGAACTTTTGGCAGAGTCATGTTGCTTTGCTTTTTCATACACCTTGTATTTCTATGCTGAGATTTACACATTGTTTGGCTGGATAGCTCTTCCACTTTTATGTGAAAGCCCTTTTAGGGAACAGCCTTCTCTTGTGATGTGTCTAGGGTTACTGGATTGTTGTGACACTGAACATATTTTCTTTTTTAAATTTATTTAAAAAAAAATTTTATCATTTTTACATTTACTCACATGTGTATACATTGTTTGAGCCACCCCTCCCCACCTCCCTTTGAATATATTTTTAATTGGATTTTGTAATATAGTTTTCCTGTGACTTCTTTGGTGGGGCTTAGTGTATTCTGAGACACTGCATACTGTGTTGGTCTGAGCACCCTGTTTTCACAAGAGTAGATAAAACAGATGTGTTGTAGATGGTGGAGTAAATCGGGCAGGCCCTCTGTAATTACTTCTAGTTTGTCAACAATAAAGTTTGAAGTGTTGTAGGAGTGACCTAGCTGTGGTCCCTCATAGGTGCACTGTCCACAGTCTGTTTTGTTGTTTCCTTCTGCTGTTGCTGTAAGGGTAGATGACCAGGAGCAGATCTTTATTCCCTCCCCTCAGCTGTGTTTATTTGGAGATTGGTCATTGGCTTGTGGATTTTATCCTCTTTATCCATGGAGATAAAAGTATTTTCTGAAGTTCGAGTGAACATGAGTTATGTGTAGAGCAATGTGTGCTGACTCTTAGCTGGCTAGCAGTGTAGCTTGGTGGCAGAGCATCTGTACAACATATTCACATTGTCATGCTGATTCCCAGCTCTGCATGGAAAGGGCAAAACAACTAACAGTAACTGAAACAAATAGTAGAAATAAAGTAAAACAAGTACCAGCCATGACATATAAGTGGTTTGACAATAGGAATATTAGGGAGCAGAAATGAGATAAACAATAAAGTTTTAAAAGCTTATGTAAAAGAGAAAGAAAAAATAATTAGAAGAAAATGGGAAATGGAAAGAGAAAGAGAACTAGAGTATTCAAAAAAGTGAAAAGGGAGAAGCAGGAGAAAGGTGGAAGTGAAGGGAGAGAGAGAGAGAGTGAAAGAGAGAGAGAGAGAGAAAGAGAGAGAGAGATTATTAAGACAGGAAGAGAAAGATCAACAACACAAACCAGAATAACAACAACAACAAAAAGAACACACACACACAACCAATGAACCAAGGAGAAAGTACAAAACACCCTTCTTAAAAAAGTAAAAATAAATAAATCAAAGAAAAAAAAGAAAGCATCGTTTCCACTAGGGAGGTCATGTAGGCACTTCTTTCTGTGTCTTCTTGGATTATACACCTCTTGGAGAGAAAAAAGCCTGGGAGATCTTCCTTCCTTCCTTCCTTGCTTCCTTTCTTCTTTCCTCTCATATCTACCCCCACCCTGTCTTTCCAGTTGGTCAGTGAGATTGGTTTGGGGCATATGCAACTTGCAATGGTTGTTTTCCTGCTTGTTAGTACAAAGCAACATGGAACCAGAGATCCTTCCAATGGAGTTTACTCCATACAGATTAGCAAAATGTACCCCTTTGCTCCAGGGCTGGGCTGTCACTGGGCTCCACTGTGTGTTTGGATCTCAGGCATCCCTGTAAAAGCCTACACTGAAAGTAGGACAACAAACAAACTGCACTGGATGGAGGGGGTACAGTATGTTCTGTGCTTTTCACCACTATTACTGTATCTGAAAGTGTCGTGTATAGTTTTTTGAGGGCCCATCTCTGCATGAAGTCTCATGCTCACTTAGTTTCCAAACCCTCTTTTCCTGGCTAACACAGCTGCCAGTCTTAAATGAAAAATGAGCCCTACTCCTGTGCCTCTGACCCAAATCCCACTGCATATATTTTTAATGAGCTTGCCTCAGTGAAGTTCCTCTGAGGGTATAGTGAGCTAATGTAGACACTAGTCAGGACAGAATAGCAATTCTTGCTGTGAATTCTAAGGAAAAGAAAACTGTAAGGAGTTGTTTCTTAAACAGTAAGCTTATGCACAACCTTCTCAAGAAGGCTCCCCACTACAGCACTACACTTTTACATTGAGAAACAGAGCACTTCTTGAGCACAAACACAGTGTTCAGCTACCAGATCAGCTATGTTCAGAGTGCCTTTCTGTTCTGAATCTGTTTCTATGTCAATTTTCCCTTTGGACATCTCTCCCTTCCCTTTCTGCTTCTCTTCTTCTTTGCCACAACCCTGAGATGTTGTGGACTCAGTGCTAATTCTCTGTCCCAATAACCAAAGTCTTTGGGTCTCTCCAAGTCTCTACATGTCCAATGTTAAACTTCCAAGTCTCTGAGGAGCTGAAAAGTGCTGCTTGCTTCTAATCCACCATCTTGACTTCTTCAGGGTTTGCTTTTTTAGTAAAGAATTTGAGTCTTAGAGAGATTATCATTGTCCAAATCATCCAGGAAGTGACTAGAATTCAGGGATGCTCTAACTCTCCATATTGTGTTGAGAACAGATTTCAGCTTGAAGGTCAGCAAAGCATGGTGGACTCCATGTTTTAGTATTATGGTGAGGAAAGAAGCCAGATTACAAGAAGCTGGGGTGACTTCTGGGACAGCAGCTATTGCCAGTTATTGTTTCATAGCAGAGAAGATGGGAGGTGGCGTGTAGCAGCCTCTGGGTGGGCAGGGCTGGAGGAATGACCCTGGCTTCAGGCTCTTTTCTGAGTGGACATCAGTGACCTCTTCATGACCATGTCCTCTTCCAGTACTAGGGCTGAATTCTTTTTTTTCTATCCATGTTAGGTGACAATTGGATTTCATGGAAAATATGTACAAGAAGGAACTCAGGACTAGATTTGGCTGTGTAGTTTTAGTCTTAAGACAATACAATGAAGGATAAGTCCAATTGGAGCAAAGACTGGTGGGAACTTGAGATGGATTGGGGGCAAGGAAGGTGATGTGTGTGTGTGTTGCACAGAAGCAACGTTGGATCAGAGGAAACAGCATACAAAAGCCCTTGCATTTGAAGGGAGAAATGCATCTTCAAGATTCAAAGAAAGGCAGCAGGCTGGAGAAGGGAGTGGAATGCAGGGGTCAGATAATGTGGGAATTTGGTCTTTAACTAAATGCCCGTTGAGGAGAAATTCTTGCAGGATTTCAGGCAAGGATATGATGATCAGATTGAGGTTTTGAAAAGTTACTTGGCTGCCAAGAGGAGATAGGCAGGATAGGTGCAGTTACATCAGTTAGGAGAAGGTGAGTGTCTTGCCTTATACCAGTGGGCTTAGAGGTGTGAATATGAATTCCAGCATGAAAGTGGGAGGCAAAGTCCAAAGACTAGTAATGGATCAGATGTACAGGGTAAGAGAGGGGGAAGCATCAGGGATGAACCTGGATTTTTGGTTGTGAAATCAGATCAGACAGGTGGTAGTACCAGTTCAAGAATTAGCTCTGGAAGAGGCCTGGCTTTGGTGGCCATGGGTTCACTTTTGGACGTCCTAAATTTGCAGTGCCTTTGAGACCCCAAAGGAAGCTATCATGTAGGCATTTGCAAATATGGGTCTGGGGTTCAAAGGAGGAGTCTGAAATGCTGCTGTAAATGTGTGATTGACCCAGTATTTGGAGCTGGGGAGTGGATGGCAGCATAGTGTGAGAAGAAAGGGCTGAGGATGGAGTCTGGAATGGTGAAGATTAAAGGCCAGGGAGTAGGGCTGGGGGTGTGGCTCAATGGTAGAGAACTTGCTTAGCAAGTGCAAGGCCCTGAGTTCAAACCCCAGAACCACTAATAAAGGCCAGGTAGTGTGTGTGTGTGTGTGTGTGTGTGTGTGTGTGTGTATCCCCATGTGTGCACATATACTCTATGATGAAAGTACACTACGAAGCACACTCTACGAAGGAGCAGCCAGAAAAGTCGGATGAAAATGAGGAGAGATTTTTATTCTGTAATGGAATGGAATCATCAACATTGATGAATAGTATTGAAAGGGATAAAGTAAGAAAAGAACTAAGAAGAATTCAATGGAATTTAGTGATGCAGAGGTCACTGGTGACCCTAAAAAGGCAGGCTTCACAGACTTATGGGTCTGGAGCCCAGTGAGAGGGGGTAGAGACTGAGGGAGGTGGGGAAACAGGGACAGTAGGTGTAGATGACTCCAGTAAAACTGGGCTGTGCTTTTCCCTCTGCAGCTACTGTGAAGATGGCTTCATGCACTGTACCACGAGTGGAACCCCAGGAAGCCTGTTGCCAGACACTGCCCTCAGCAGTCCCCTGTCTCACCGCAGTGAGTACCACAGTCCTAGAAGGCTTTTCCCTTCCCATCTGCTAACACTTCACAACGAGTGAGAGGAGCTTGCTGCATGTATGTTCAGGTATGGGTCTGGCTCTTTCCATGATTTCTGGGTTTGTGTGACTTTCAGGCCTAAGCATGACTTTGCATGTGTAAACCCAAAGTATTGAGGTCAGGAGGTCAGAGATAATTTACTTTGTGGAAGGGTAAAGACTGAATTATCTGCAAGAAGAACTTAGTGAGACCTCTGTTTTGCCCATGATGACCTTAGCACAATGGACAGCTGGAGTGAGTTGGTCACCTTGTTTGTGATGACAGCTACCCTTCTTTGATGGCCTCATGCTGATGAGGACACCTCTTTGAAAGCTTCTCAGATAGATTTGAAAGAGGAGGGGTTTGGACCAGTGCCCTCAGTTTGCAGGTCCTAATGGTTGCTATACTGTTTCAGGAGAAGGGGTGACCTGTGCAGGTGGGGTCACACTCACGTTTCTGGATCACAGGGGCTATATTTGCTTCCAGAAGGATCAAGCTTGCTTTAAAAAGGAATCTTCCAATGGGAGGAACATAAATGGGCTATTTCCACCTCTATCTTGACTGTTCCTCCTTCTGCCTCTTACTTTCCCTAAGACTCCTTCCCTTCAGGTGACAAAGCTCGGCCCCAGGCCATTTGCTCTCCAACTTGCCCTAAGTGAGAGGCCTGGCTCCCTATATGACTGACTCAGAATCATCTTTCAGCAAAGAGCTGGGCCAAGTTCCCAAGCACAGGCATATTTCAAAAGTTGAAATCAGAACATGTGACACTAAGGTCACTAAGTGCCTCTGCCTCTTTCTTTGTCTCACTCTTGTGGCATTCCTCAACCCTCACTCCTCTTAGACCTGCCTTTCACACTCCCCTTGTTCAGGTCTTCTGGTCTAGCCACCACGAGGTATTGTATCTTTTTCAATACCAGGAAGCTTCTGGAATTCTCTGTAAATGGGAAAAAAATCCATTTAACCGTTTGGAGTTTCAGCTTCCTAGCACAAATTTCCATATGAAAAAAGGGCTGGAAATGCTGACTTTCTTGCCCAGAGGAGATAGTGATATAAATGCTATTAAGTATATGAGAGTTTTTGAGACAAAGGTGTCTCAGTCATCTGTTCTCACCATTATCCAGTCAGTCATTAATATCTCTTAATTGCCAGGAAATATGTTTTGTCAATGAACAAAGTAGACAAAAATCCCTGCCTTCATGGAGCATGCATTCTAGTGGATTGAGTGGGGATGGGGTGGACAGTCAGCACATATGTGAAAAGTGTAGTATGTGGGAGGGGAGATGAATATGTGTAGGTATTAAACAGAGGAAAACACAGCAAGGAATGGAGACTGGTGTGGGATTCCTTTAAAAGCTTTGTGGCTGAATGGCTTTTTCCTTCTCCATGAACATAACCATTTTAGGAATGGTTCCATTGGGTCCCACTAAGTTTCTTCTTTTGTTTTTTTTTTTTAGCACTCAAACCTAGGTCTTGAAATTCTGGGTCTGGAAATTTCCATAATGCATCCTTATCTAATGCAATCTGCTATAGCACAATCAAGGAGGGTGAGAAGTGGGGGCCATCAAATAACTGCTGGGGTAGGACAGCTGCCACCTGCATAGGTCAAAGTACTCAGCTGAAGTAAATGAGAATGTCACCCACAAGGGGAAACTGGCTCAGAGCTAAACCCCACTAGAGGCTGGGCTGCTACCATGGAGTGGCCAACTTTGTTTCTCAAATGAGTGACAGTACCTAGGGGATTGAAGAACAGTGTAGAAAAGAGATCTGGTCACTCCTTCATTAATCGCCTCTTCGATTTTCTATCTTCAAGGCAAAAGGAGCCTATCCTGTCGGCCCCCAATGGTCAAGTTTGTGTGTCCTGCTGACAACCTGAGGGCTGAAGGGCTGGAGTGTGCCAAGACATGCCAGAACTATGACCTAGAGTGCATGAGTATGGGCTGTGTGTCTGGCTGCCTCTGCCCCCCGGGCATGGTGAGTCACTTTCATGGGGTGGACACCTTCCCTTCCATTTTCCTGTAGGCAGGGATGAGTAAGAGGGCTATGGAAACAGAGAGAGGAAGAAACAAGAGCCAGACAAGGTTGATCATGGGGTAGTGGTGATCATGGGGATTTAGGTAGAACCCTCGGTGGCCTAAGTGAATCACCAAAGTCAGGGAGGGAGTTTACTGGGGTTGATCCTGATGGGATCTGACAAAAATATAAGATCTTGGCTCACAGAAGTACACTAAAAAGCAAACAAAGTATCTCCAGGAAATACAGGTAAAACCAGGAATTTCTTCTGGAATTTTCTCAATGCCTGTATTTATATGGCTTGAAGATGGAAGAATGCACACATATTTGCATATTATTTACATATAACATATAACACTGAAGTTCCTATTATGCCTCTACCAAACCATGGGATTTCCCCACATTCAGCCTTTTTTCCTCCTTTGTAAAGTGAGCTATGAGGTTTTGGCTAGCTTCTTACGTCCCATCATTCTGGGGCTGGGACTGCACGTGGAGGCCATGCATGGTCCAAGGTCATCCTGGTTTGCAACTACCTGGTTTCCATGTGCATCTTCTGAACCATGATGATGGCAATGATCCAAGCACACCCAAGCCTCCTTACCTCCTCCAAGTCTAATCTTAGCCCAGTTTTGTATTAAATACATTGTATGTATATTATTCTTATTACCTTGAAGAGCATAACTTCTGGATCTTTCTCTTTCAATGCATCTATCTTGTTGTTTTCCCTGACTCCAATCTCCCATAATTAAAGTGGGTGGTGAAGGGTTGGGGCAGGGGCTGTAGAGGCCAGAATGGAAGGGGGCAGGATGGTTCTTACTTAGCTGTGAGTGTGAGTTAATGGTGCCCAGGCTCAGCCTGAAGGGCAGTGTCTTAGATTGTGAAGCGGCCCATGTTCTGTAAAGAGAACAAATTTTGTCACCACTGTCCTCACGAGGGCTAGGGATTGGAGAGTGTGCAGGACAGATATACTGTTTTTTACTTCCTCTCCATGACTTTTCTACCAAACAGAGAAATGAGCTTTTATTGCTTATCTCCTAGGTGTTCCCCTCTGTCATAGTTCCTTCTGAAACTGTCTTTTCTAGTGGGGAGCTAGAGATTGGCCAGTGGATACCTCTAAACTGGACAGTGTTGTTTGGTGTTTTAGGAGAAGGCTGATATCTACAGAGGTTCTATACGAAGAGGGAAAGTCAGTCCCAGGTAGGGGCAAGAGGCAGAGAAGAGTCCTTTGCTCTTTCTACCTGGGGGCATTTAATTTGAGTTTCTCAGAGCCCATGGTGGGGGGTGGTCACCCAAGGTCATTGTCCCTACATCATATGTGAAGGAGAAAGTTTCCCGACACTACAGAAGCCTCAGGCAAGAAAAGAGACTTCTCTCAGGAGGTTATGTGAGTACTGGGGACTCTTTATTTATTCTCTTTCTTTCTTGGTGGTACTGGAGTTTGAACTCAGGGCTTGCATTTGCTAGGCAGGCACTCTCTTGTTTGAGCCACACCTCCAGCCCTTTTTACTCTGATTATTTTGGAGATAGGTTCTTGCTTTTTGCTCAGACAGGCCTGGACTGTGATTCTCCTATTTTACATTTCTACATTTCCTGAGATGACAGGTGTGTATCATCACACCCAACTTTTTTCTTTTGAGATGGGGCCTCATGAACTCCTCCCCTCACCCCTGTCCCCCCAGGCTGGCCTGAAACTGCAGTCTTCCAATCTTAGCCTTCCAAGTAGTTAAGATTCTAGGCATAAGCCATAGGTGCTTTTTATTTATTCTATGTCAAGAAGTTTTAAATTCTTCTTTTTTTTTGAGTCAGTGTCTCACTGTGTTGCCCAGGCTGGCCTCAAATTCCTGGGCTCAAGCAATCCTCCTGACTCAGCCTCCCAAGTAGCTAGGACTACAGGTGGGAACCACCATGCACAGCTGGTTCAGGGACTCTTTTTTCTTTTTGGTGGTACTGATGTTTGAATTCAGGGATTTGTGTCTACTAGGTAAACATTCTACCTCCAGATCTTTTTTGTTCTGGTTAATTTTGAGATAAGGTCTTGATTTTTTGCCTGGACTGACCTGGACCTAGATCTTCCTATTTATGCTTCCCATAGTAGATATGATCACAGGTGCACACCACTATGCCCAGCTTTTATCAGTTAAGATGGGGTCTTGTGAACTTTTTTCCAGGCTGGCCTGGAACCGTGATCCTCTCGATCTCAGACTCTTGCATAGCTGGGATGACAGGTGTGTGCATCTAGCTGTTGGTTGAGATGGGTCTCATGAACTTTTCTGACTTGCTGGCCTTGAACTGTGATCCTCCCAATCTTCTCCTCTGAGTAGCTAGCATTATAGGAGTGAGCTGCTGGCTGCCCACTTCAGAGATTCTTTAAATCAATTTTTTCTTCACATGGAGGAAGCAATCCAGATAGTCTTAAATATTAATAGGCACAAAAATTGCATTATGATCCCGAATCTCAATTGGAGAGCGAGACCTCAGATGTAGGAAGCAGATGTACTGTCAGGCCCTCCTTTGGCATACTGGAGCCTCTGGTGTGCATTCGGGGGACACACCTGCCCACAATGAGGGGGCTCTCTTCCCCATGGGGGTCACACGCTCCGAAACAGCTTGCATTACAAGAGATTGGGTTATTTTCACAATTGCTTTATTCTGATGCCAACTAACCTGCAAATTGCTGGGGCCAGGCTCTGCAGAACAGAAAAATCTGTATAATTTATTAAGTGCACACAGTGTGCTGGCTGCAGCTCAGGGACACATGTTTCTGGCCACAGCACAAAGAAAAGGGAGCTGGAAACACCGTGGTTGGCTCACCTGTTGATGTAAACACTGTACCCAGGTCTGCTTCTGTGTCCTGTGTAAGGGAAGAGTCACGGCATGTTATCAAGGTTTGGGGAGGGAGCGGGGGGTCTGCATTCCGGGGAATTGAAAGGGGGAAGGAAACCACTTTCTTTTGGGGGCTGAAAGAGCATCCTGGTAGGAACATGGCTCAGAAAGCTGAGCTCGCTACCTTCTGGCTCCATGGCGTTGTGAATCATTCAGTCTTTATCTGCTGCTATGTGGCAGATTTCCTGTTCTGCCTTGCTCACTCATTGGTTGTGGCCCAGGGGAGATGTGTGTAAAGTCACGTTCAGACCCAGAAAGTACTACAGGGTCATGGGAGTAGCTCTCATCAGTGTTCTCGTAAATAACCAAGGCTCTGTCTCAGGAGATGTGTGGATCAGTTCCTCATCCTGTCTGCAGGAGGGATTCACATCGGGCCCAGTTTCTTACACTTGCAATCTGTTGTGGACCGTTGTTCTGTAAATACAATAAAATGGATTATCAAAAAGTGAAACAAAGAGCTATGAAATGGGCTGGGGATGTAGCTCAGTGGCTGAGTGCTTGCCTAGCATGCACAAGGCCCTGGGTTCCATCCCCAGCACCACCAAGTAAGAAAAAAAGCAATGACATCCAAAATATGGGCTCCTAACAACATTTTTGTAAACATATTATTATTGTACTGGGGGTACATGTTGACATTTACAAAAGTTCTTACAATTTATCATAGTTAGATTTCATCAATCTATCATTCTCCTTTATCTCTCCTCCCCCTATTCACCTCTACATCTTTTCCTTCTATCCTCCCCACTCCCATTGGTACCCATTTCCCAGACAGGACCTGTTTTGCCTTCCTGTTCTGCATTTAAAAAAAATTGACATTTTTATTTAAGATAGCTATACAGGGTATTTCATTGTGAAATTTCCATGTACATATGTATTATAACTTGAATTGGTTCATCCCCTCTATTTTTCTCATTTCTACCTTAGTCCCCTTCTTATGGTGATTTCAACATGTTTATTCCTGTATAGAGAGTACATTGGCCAAATGCTTCTACTAATTTTTATCACATACCAAAAACATGACATTACTCTGCCAAATTGCCATAAGAGTTTCTAAACACTTATCTCAGTTTCTTTTTTTTAATTATTTTATTATTCATATGTGCATACAAGGCTTGGGTCATTTCTCCCCCGTGCCCCCACCCCCTCCCTTACCACCCACTGTGCCCCCTCCCTCTCCCCCCACCCCCTCAATACCCGGCAGAAACTATTTTGCCCTTATCTCTAATTTTGTTGTAGAGAGAGTAGAAGCAATAATAGGAAGGAACAAGGGTTTTTGCTGGTTGAGATAAGGATAGCTATACAGGGAGTTGACTCACATTGATTTCCTGTGCGTGTGTGTTACCGTCTAGGTTAATTCTTTTTGATCTACCCTTTTCTCTAGTTCCTGGTCCCCTTCTCCTATTGGCCTCAGTTGCTTTTAAGGTATCTGCTTTAGTTTCTCCACGTTAAAGGCAACAAATGCTAGCTAATTTTTCAGGTGTCTTACCTATCCTCACCCCTCCCTTGTGTGCTCTCGCTTTTATCATGTGCTCAAAGTCCAATCCCATTGTTGTGTTTGCCCTTGATCTAATGTCCACGTATGAGGAAGAACATACAATTTTTGGTTTTTTGGGCCAGGCTAACCTCACTCAGAATGATGTTCTCCAATTCCATCCATTTACCAGCGAATGATAATATTTCGTTCTTCTTCATGGCTGCATAAAATTCCATTGTGTATAGATACCACATTTTCTTAATCCATTTGTCAGTGCTGGGGCATCTTGGCTGTTTCTATAACTTGGCTATTGTGAATAGTGCTGTAATAAACATGGGTGTGCAGGCACCTCTGGAGTAACTTATCTCAGTTTCTGTACTTACAGCATCACAGGTCAGCCCTGGTCCAGGGACCACTCTGAGTAGCACTGTCCTTGCCTTTCCTCTTTCAAGCCATTGTACCCAGAAGCACTGTTTCATATGTTGGGGTCAGGGAGGAACCCTTCTCTTTTTCAATGTCCCAGGCCTGACGCCTGCTCAGAGCAGAGGTCTTCTGGTCCACCTCACGCTTTGCAGGTTACGTCTACGTCTGCTCCTGCTGCTATCTCTAAGATTTCCTTGCATGGCAATGAGGGGTGGGATGCTTTTGATAAGTGACCAGCACCATGAGAAGTGGTTGGTGGAGCAGCTGTGTGGAAAAGGCATTGGTTCTGATCCTTCTTCTAATCCTGGTTTCTGATATTTACTTAACTGAGCACCAAGTCACTTAAAACTTTTGCATTTTAGTTTCCTCACCTGTAAAATTGATGAGAAAGTTTTGAGGGAGACTAGAGATGAAGGGGAGACACATAGTAGGTGCTTTATAAGAGGAGGTTTAATGACCACTACCATAATAGTTTCATGGAAGAAAACCATGCATTCTACTACGAACAGAAATGCAAGAGAAAATTAGCCATCATACACGGGGAGCAACTTTTCAGAACTTAGGGTTCATATTATGAGGCCCACTGGGTCAAAAAATTGTGGGGCTGCACTAGAAGCGATTCCAATTCTTTTTCTTTAGTTGAAAATTTGTCCTGAACTTTCACTTGAAGCCCCATTCTTTTATCACCACCCGGGGGCAGCAAAGCACAGCCCACAGCTCTGTTCCCTCCACTCCAGCCACAGTTGTGGTTCTTTACTGAGGCAGCCAGGCAGAGTTAGAACAAATCTTTAAGACCTGATATTTTGGGCCCGGGCAGAGCTCAAGTGGTAGAGGGGTTGCCTGCCAGGCATGAGGTCTTGGATTCAATATTCAGTACCGCAAAAACAACAACAAACACACACTCCCTTGCCACCACCATTTCAACCCCTTCTACCACACAAGGAGTGAAGAAAGAAAGGAAACTGGATCAGTTCAAGGCCACATGGTTATATACTGGAAATTCTCGACTTGTGACTTCCAGGCCAGCTGTCCTTCAGTACTACTGGTTTCCCTTTGGGAGGCCAGGTCACTGCTGCTCAAATAATTTGGCCTCTAAGGAAAATGTAGCACCACTGTCTCGGAGATGCTAACTCATCCTTTGAAAGCCAGTGGTCACTGAGTACCACTATGGGAATTAGTGACTTCTCAGCATCTACAAAGTGTGCCCATGTCCTTGTATATCTAGTATGAAGACAGGAAAGACTGCTATCAAGTGGTGGAACCAGGTAATATTCTAACTTAAAACAGTGGAGGCTCAGGGGCCCATCCAGTGTGGGCATTGAAAATCCCATGGGTTGTTATTTTATTTTATTTACTTTTTTTTTTTTTTGGCAATGCTGAGGATGGAACCCAGGGCCTCATGTATGATGGGCAAGTGCTCTACCACTGAGATACACCCCTACTCTGAGATGTAATTTTGAAAGACCTAAGAAAGCCCTCCATGATTTGTCACCTAATGAGGTTTACTGAAATATAATAGGCAAGTCTCTGTCTTGGTTAAGAGCATGAACTTATAGAAAAGCTTAAATCCTCATAGAAAGAGTCATTCACACTCTAGTGTAAGTTATCTAATCTGATTGCTTTGCTGTTAACAAGCATCTAGCTGAAATCGGCTGCGTTGAGCTGCAAGTATTGATGGCGTAGGAAGGCCATTAGGATCAGCTGGAAGGCAAATAAAATTTGGAGTCTGTATGGTGTTCATGCACAGTGGGGAAGAATGTGGATGTTGGAGGCTAACAGAACCATTTTTTTTTCCACTTAATAATTTTTCTTGGAGCTGACCAAGACCTAGCACCATGTCCTCAGATCCAGCCATTCTTAATATGCTGTGAGTTGATGACAGTCATCTGAGTATTTCTGTCACTTTTTTTGGAAAGTTTTCAAAGGACATTCATGAATTTTATCTTGGTATCATTCTAGTCCCAAAGGGACAAAGACTAGATGTATATGGATGGCTGTCTTTATTTTTAAACCTGAGGTTTTAGTGAATTGCTACAAAACTCAGTCAAGGATTGCTCTTCTGGCCTGCCTACTTGCCTGGCCAGTTCCCATCTGGGTCTTGTCACACTGCCTATAGGACACCTTTATTTCTGTGACTTTCAATCTCCATGAATTGCTTTCATGCTTTGGGGTTCTCTGGGTGTTTTGGGATGAGCTGTTGTTATGTGAGCATCTTTCCCAAGTCAGAAAGCCTCACCCAGTGACTTGGAACCCCCTTCCTCAGTGTAAGGACTGTGTTTTGTCTCCTTACCAGCTCTAACTTGTGGCTCTAACTCCATACCACTCTTGTCCTAATAACAGTCCTCATCTAATACCAAGGTCCTACCTTAATATCACAATCTGTCAGTTAATGATCTCCTGGTACTCACCTAAGCCAGGACAGACAGGAGCCTGGTGCTTTGCCAGTGAGAGCTCAGGAGGAAGAGGAAGTGTCAGCTATAGAGGTGACAGCATTCTTTCTTGCTGAACTGGGATTTGAGTTTTAGGTCTCTTGGGAAGAGAGCTGGGCTTCCATCAACCCACCTGGGTGAAGGAGGGGAACTCCCTGGCCCATGGCTGTATGGGACTTTTTGAGAGTGGTTGAATATCCTGGGGAGAGGTTAAAATATGCTGACCAGGAGGCCTGGGAGCCCTCAGTCTAGCCTGCCTACATGTCCCACTGAGGTGAGGCAAGGGCAGAGCTTAGCTTCCTGGGATCCTGCATGACTTTTGTTATCTCATGTCACATTTTCCATAGGGAGGCTTACCTGGTTTCCATTGACTGTTAGGATGCGTCAGTCATTCTTATAGTAGCCACTAGGTGGCAGACCCCAGAGAGCTGACAAAGTTTGGAAGGCTGTGGGAATGAATCCTAGTTATAACAGAGCCTTGGAAGGCTCAGGAAGCCCCTCCCTGTTCCTGCCATGCTTCCATCTTCCCTAACAGGGCTCCCGAGTTCATTGTCTTCTAAGAACCGTGGTTCTAGTCAGTAAAAGCTACCAGAGATGTGGTCAACCTGCATCTTCCTCCTTCTCTGCACCCTCCTTGCCCCACCTTAGGTGTTGAGGTACTCTGGACACCTCCTGAGGTTGGGGCAGATGGTATTAAGTGGAGGATGTTAATTTTCCCACCAACACCACCACTAAACACACACACACACACACCTATGTCCTCGACATGAAAGCCCTTTGCTCAGCCAAGTCCTCTCTGCTCCCAGGACTTCCTAGCCTAGGAACTCAGGCTAGGATCACATGTCACCTGAGCCATCCAGACCAGCAGCTTCTCACTCCCCAAGTGGTTCTGGAGCCAAGATGCTGGGGTCCCGTCCCCTGGGGTGACCCAAGCCTCATTTAGTGCATCCAAGGTCTCTGGTCAGGCCAGAACAGATGTCCAGGCTACTCATAGGGTTGAGACAGAACCCGTTGGGCCAGAGTGGATTTGGCCATCTCTTCCTGAGCACTGGGTCCATGGTTCTTAGTTCTTCCCCCTCTCCTGGCCTGGGAGACTCGAGGTGTATAACATGCTCACATAAGTAACTTCCTAGAGGTGGTGGGAAGGGGAGGAGAGCATTCCACTGTGGAGGGTGCATCAGGGATGGGGCAGAGGGCATGTGTGGTGTGGAAAAGCTCTCAAGCTTGATTTCATATACCTCTGCTTCTGCCCAGTGTTTAGCTCTCACCCCTGGGGTATTAAGAATGTATTAATTTTCTCAAACACAATGTCCATTTTCTTTAATTTTAATTTCAAAAAATGCCCATGCATCGCAGAACATTTGGAAAAAAAGGAAATCCCCACATTCTCCTATCCCAGCCCACCACCTGGAGGCAACTCCTCTATTTCCATCTAGTCTCTTTTTTGTTTTAAATATGTATACATATGTGTAAAATTGGGACCATATGTATGAACAGTTTTTTTTTCCTGTTTTAAAACATAGTAGTGTGAGCCAGGTATGGTGGCTTATACTGACTTGGGAGGCAGACATCAGGAGGATAGCTGTTTGAGTCCAGCCTTGGCAAAAAGTTAGTGAGATCCCATCTCACCCAACAAGCTGGGCATGATGGCATGTGTCTGTCATCCCAGCATATACCTGGCTCCCTGTGTGCTCCCATGCTGGGCTCCTGGGAGGCTCAAGTTCCAGGTGACAGTTTTGGGTTCTTGTTCTTCAGGTCCGGCATGAAAACAAGTGTGTGGCCATAGAAAGGTGTCCCTGCTTCCACCAGGGCAAAGAGTATGCCCCAGGAGACACGGTGAAGATGGACTGCAATACTTGGTGAGCTCTGTGGGCTGCCCTGGGGACCAGCCACCAATGGTGGATTGAAGGTGATCCGGATACAGGACCTCTTGCCTCCCACACCCTGTGGAAGGAACCAGAGTGCTCTTGTCCTTTTGTCTGTGCCTCTCTTTCTCCACCTGTGAAATGGAGACTCTTCACCATTGGCTGTGCTCATGTCACATGGATGCCATCCCAGGGATTGTTGTTTCTGCTCATGGATCTGAGCCCTGGGGAGGATCAGGATCTTGCTTGTCTTAGTCCCTGTGTATGTGACCAAACTGTCAATGGAAATGGGGGTGGGAGGTCCTGTTCTTTCAGGTCTTATATTGCCCTTGAGCAGGCTTGGAATGGCACAGTTTGAGGAGGACTTGATGAGGCTGGCTGGTTTCTTTCTCCCCTCCTTGGCCATCCATCACATGACCCCCTGCCCTTCCCTCTTACCCTGTCTTTGACTTCTGGGCTGCGCATAGCTTTAGACAGAGGCCCGTGTGGACAGAGGCAGGCAGGCGACCTGAAGTCTGAGCTCACCACCTCTGACGCACAAGTGGGCTTTCCGAGGTCAGCTCTGGTTATGAGGTGGTGGGGGGATGGGACATGTGGCCATTGGCAAATCGCTATAGATTTAAACATATAGCTACACGTACACAAAACTTCTCTTGGCAGAAGTTCATTGCCCATTACTGTTTTACAAACTCAGAACTTTCCTGCTATTGTCTCGTTTTCCCCATTAGCCCAGAGGGATTTCAACCTCAGTGTGTCTGTCACAGGGGCCCTGTGGTCAGTCTGAGGTAGACTGTGGCTTCTAGGGTAGGGCTAAGCTTTAGAGAGTTCATGGCAGGTGGCCTGGAGAGACCTTGGCTTCCTCCCCAGCTGCCTGGATCACCTTGGACAACCCCCTCCCTTCTTTGCCTCAGCTTCTCCCTTGGAACCAGAGAGTAACATAGCTTCCCCCTCTCCTGTGGCGCCTTGTGCTGGCCTGTGAGGTTCTTGCTCCCCAGGCTGCAAATCCTCAATTTCTTGAGGCTTCCTGGAGGGTTGGGTGGCCCCTTGGAGCATTCCATTGTCTCCCCGTTGCCTGAGACTTAGTTGGTCCCCTCACACCCAAGGTGCACAGCAGTCATCCTGTGTAACTGTTCCTAGTGTTTGTCGGGACCGGAAGTGGAACTGCACGGACCACGTGTGTGACGCCACGTGCTCTGCATTGGGAATGGCTCACTACCTCACCTTCGATGGGCTCAAATATACGTTCCCGGGAGAGTGCCAGTATGTTCTGGTGCAGGTGAGAGTGAGAGTGAGGAGGGGAGGTGCTGTAGACTCGTGTGTGTGTGTGTGTGTGTGTGTGTGTGTGTGCAAGTGCTGGCTGTAATTGTGGGGTTTCCAGGTTGGATTCTGTCCTTCTGTCTATAGAAAGAACTCTGGGGTCTGGTTTTATTGGAGTAATTTTCCAATTCCTGAAAGAGGAGCCTAAAGATGTAGGAGTTTGAAACACAAAGTGGTTGTCTGTTTTCTAGTCTGCTCACTGGGAGACTTCTACAACCAGAACAGTGCTCATTGGTTGACTAGGACTGGTGTAGGGTAAGGTCTCTCTCAGTCCAAGTTAGTACCCATGTGGATTAGAAAAAGGTCAGTGTTTCTTTGGACATAAACCAGGATACACAGTTTGGGGAGCTGAGCCCTGGCTGGATTTCAGCCCCCTCACCCTCCCTGCCAACACCTCGGGAGGTGGATGAACAGAGGGTGGCAATGACTCCTGGAGTTTGCTGCCTTTCCTGTGACTCTGTTTCATTTCCACCATTTTCATTTTGAACATGGTATGATTTCAAATACGATCACAGAAAAGTCGTTTTGCCCAGCAGGATGAGAACGAGCTCAGGAAACGGTAGCTACTGAGCAAGGGACCTACCCACCCCCCTATTTCATGGATTCCTGTAAATTTCTCTTGCCAGTTGACACAAAACGGTAAGAAGTTCTTCTCAGAGGGGAGACTCTGTGATGCTGTAAACAAATGTGGTCTCTCTGTCTCCATTCTCCGGGGAAAAGGGGTCTTGGTGTGGTCTAAAGGAAGGACCACAAACCTGGAGGAGCCTCAGCCCAAGACAGAGCACCAGCCAGTTGGGGCACCAGCCAGCCAGCTCACCTCATCCTCCACCCTCCACCTCAGCTGGCCCAGGGAGGCAGGACTGTGCTGGCGAGATAGGGCACGCACACCTTGAAATGGCTTTTCTGACACCTATGAACCTGAGGAGTGTGGTCCCTGGTGGAAGACTGTCCTTGATTACCTGGCCACCTTCCAGCCTCGGCAGCCTAGGACAGGGTGACAACAATTTTGTGGCTCAACTGCCAAGCCAGTTCCACATCTGAGCATCCAGAAATGATGAATTTAGTGTGATGAGAATAGCCACTCAACATCCTCTACTTCCCAGATCTGCCCTGGCCCAGGCAAGCTTTCCCAGTGTTCTGTTTTCAGGAATGTCATTCAGATGGTGCACCTTGTGTGTCACTTGTCTTCCTTCCCACAGCCGGTGCTGTGGTCTTCTTCTGAGGACCTTTGTTCTGGATCCCCTTGCCTTCCTGTGGAAGGTCTCATCAGACCGAACTCTGTCTCCTTCAGAGAAGTTAGCTGGTGACAAGAATGAATTAAAAGCACCACACCTTCTTCCCCTTTAACCTTTGCAGTCTACTAGCCTAACACAAACTCATTTAGCAGAACAAGCCCAGGGTGTTCACTGATTCCCATCTCATAGAGGGCAGGGCGTTTGTACATGTGTATGTGCATATATGCATTGGTGTGATGGGTGAATGTGAGTGTGCACGTGTGTGTGTGTGTGTGTGTGTGTGTGTGTGTGTGTCAGGGTGGTAAGTGACTAACTCAGTACTACCCAATAAGCAGCAGACTGAGACTCACACCTAGAGTTTCCAAGTCAAGTGTTTTCTCTTTTCTCCATCCCCACAGTACAGCCGCTGTGTGGAGCTATTTTTCAGGAGTGTGTCCCTTTTTGCTTAATGTTGAAGGCAGTTGACCAACAAGGCACCAGCAGCCCTTACAGGAGCCACATAGCTGGGTCAGCCATTTTGGTTACATTTCTGGGCCAGCAGGCCGGAGAGGTTGAACCAGACATCAGAGCCACGAGATGACATATGGGGGAACTGTCCCAGCTACCTCTTGGGACTGAGAACTACTGTCATCCAGGCGAGGGCGTTCAGCCTGCCACATGTCACCTTTCTACCTTGTGCTCATACCACCCCCGCCAGACCATCAGCAGCAGGTTCAACCATGATGGCCAGGTTGCACACCTGAGAGTTTACCTGGGGATGTCTCCCCCCACCACAGACACACACACACAGGTACACACGCATACCCACGGACATGGTAACACCTGTGCCCAGTATTCAAACACCCCAGAGGACGAGATGCCCATCCTCTGGCCTGGGAGAGGTGGCGGGATAATATTTCTCTCTTGTCACCCCTCTCTCCCCAGGATTATTGTGGCAGTAACCCCGGGACCTTTCGGATCCTGGTGGGGAATGAGGGGTGCAGCTACCCCTCAGTGAAATGCAAGAAGCGGGTCACAGTTCTGGTGGAAGGAGGCGAGATTGAGCTGTTTGATGGAGAGGTAAGTGCCAGCCTCGCCCTTCTGGCTCTTGACCCCCTTTGTTTCTCTGTCTGCTTGTCAAGGTGGAATTTACAGAGAATGAGGTCAAACTACACCGACCAGGGTCACACATTATTATTCTGTGAACAGAACAAGTGGCAGTCCAATATAGATAATGTGTTCCCATTTTGGTAAGCGTGTGGGGAAAAGGATTTGTAATTATGTTTTCATATGTATGGGTAGAGGCAGTGCGCACCACTGGACGACCCTTGGGTGTCATCACCCTCTTACCCATAGCAAGGCACGTTCCAAGACCCCTAGATGCTGCCTGCACCCAAAGATAGCATCCGGCCCAGTATATACTGTCTCTCCCTCTATGTCTATACCTATGACGGCATTTAATTTAGCAAGTAGGCATACGAAAAATGATAATGAATCATGACCACCAATGTAGTATAATGAAAGTTAGTTGAAACCTACTCATTGCTTATTTCTGGAACTTGCCATGTAATTTTTTAGACCTCAGTCGACCCCAGCTAACTGGAACTGCAGAAAGCAAAACTGTGACTAAGTTGGACTACTACAGGCATAGATTTTGAAATCGATATGGAAAATTCTTAGTTTCTTTTATGTTTTAAAGTTCTTTTAAGATTTTGCTGTTGTTGTTGGCTGGGGATGGAACTCAGGAACTCACGCATGCTAGGCAAGTGCTCTACCACTGAGTTATATCCCTGTTCCTTCAGATAAATATTTTTCAAGAGCTAAGGGGTGAAGGAAACAGATTCACTCACTATGTATCAGGAGCTTAAAAAGAAAGCAGGACTCTCCCAGGAGATCTTAAGGAGCATGTGGACCTTGGGGGCCCATCCTGAGTTACAACTCAGTAGGGCTGGGTGGAGCTCAGGGATCCGCAGTTAAGAGTCAACCGTCACCCTTAGGCCACAGTTTTAGTTCAGCTGACCTGACCACATGTGGTATAAGAAAGACCCAAGGTCAGAGCTCCAGCCTTTCCTGGTATCACCATTTTCTTTGGTGGCCTCTGTTGGTTTCCTGCCTTCATATGAGGCCTGTACCCATCACTAACAACTGGGCATGGGAAGTGAATTCTTCGCCATTACAGAATGGGTGAAAACTGTTCAGCATGTGTGACTGTGGGCCATCAGTGTCAACCTCATTTCAAAGGACGGCTCTCATCATCAGCAACACCACCAACAACAGGTGTTGGCGAGGATGTGGGGAAAAGGAACCCTCTTACACTGTTGGTGGGAATGTAGACTAGTACAACCACTCTGGAAAAAAATTTGGAGGCTACTTAAAAGCTAGACATCGACCTACCATTTGATTCAGTAATACCACTCTTGGGGATATACCCAAAAGACTGTTACTCCAGAGGCACCTGCACACCCATGTTTATTGCGGCACTATTCACAATAGCCAAGTTATGGAAACAGCCAAGATGCCCCACCACTGACTAATGGATTAAGAAAATGTGGTATCTATACACAATGGAATTCTATGCAGCCATGAAGAAGAACGAAATGTTATCATTCGCAGGTAAATGGATAGAATTGGAGAACATCATTCTGAGTGAGGTTAGCCTGGCCCAAAAGACCAAAAATCGTATGTTCTCCCTCATATGTGGACATTAGATCAAGGGTAAACACAACAAGGGGATTGGACTTTGAGCACATGATAAAAGCGAGAGCACACAAGGGAGGGGTGAGGATAGGTAAGACACCTAAAAAATTAGCTAGCATTTGTTGCCCTCAACGCAGAGAAACTAAAGCAGATACCTTAAAATCACGGTCTCCTTAGAAACACAGCTAGGGAACTATTGTAGTTATTGATCAAGGGTCACCCTCCCCCACTATTTATGAACTCATGGATGATCTCGAGTTGGTTTTGTTGTGCTTTTAATCTCATAATTAGGATTTCACTGCTACCTCAATTATTGTCCCTTCGTTGTGGATTCTTTGAGGATGGTAAGTGAACTGCACAGAAGTGACCAGGTGTGGTGCTGGCCCTGAGATGCAAGCTCTGACAGAGAGGGCCATGTGACATGTGTTTCTCTGAAGGGATAAGGTTTTTGGCAGCAGAGGCAGGCCGGGGGTGAGGAGAAGGGGACATTCTGGACTCTCATGCCTACCTTCATCCCTGTTTTCCTGCTTTGTCCTCCTTCAGGTGACCGTGAAGAGGCCCATGAAGGACGAGACACACTTTGAGATGGTGGAGTCTGGCCGGTACATCGTTCTGCTGCTGGGCAGGGCCCTGTCTGTGGTCTGGGACCGCCACCTGAGCATTTCTGTGGTCCTGAAGCAGACATACCAGGTCAGTGGGCTTTCTTGCTTTATCTTGTCTGTGACTTGTTTGTACCCCTGTCAGCTCCCCACCGTTTTGGGGCAAGGTGACCCTTGGTCTGGCTCCCTCCCCACACAAATAAACCTTTGGAGTCAAGGTCTGCAGGTAACCTTGGCTCTGTTGGGCTGACTGCCCATGAGAAGGACGGAGGCGGCCCCAACCTAAACCATCCTGACTTGCCTTCCTAGGCATGTAGTTCATTTGCACAGGAAGAAAGTGCGGGATTAGGCGATAGTATCTTTTCTTTAACCTTCCTTTCTCCTTCCCTCCTTCCCACCCTCCCTCCCTTCTTTCCCAGTGCTGAGGTTTGAATGCAGGGCTTTGCATTTGCATTTGAGAGAGTAGGCACTCTATAGCTTGAGCCACACCTCTGGCAATTTTTGCTCTGGTTATTTTGGAGATAGGGTCTCACTTTTTGCCCAGATCAGCCTGGAGTATGATCCTCCTATTTTATGCTTCCTGATAAAACTGGGACGACAGGAGTGCACCTCCATGCTCAGGTTTTTCCGTTGAGATGCGGTCTCAACAAACTTTTTTTTTTTTTTTTTTTGCTTGGGCTGGCTTGAAACCATGAGCCTCTTGATCTTACTCTCCCACATAATCGAGGCAACAGGTATGTGCCACCGTGCCCAGTTATGGGTTGAGATGAGGGATTCTCATGGAATTTTTGCTTGGGCTGGCCTCAAACCACCATCATCCTGATCTCAGTCTCATAAATAGCTGGGATGTCAGGTGCCTGGCTCTTTAGGCTTTAACCTAAAGAGGCAAGTTGAATATGTACAATACTGTTAACACTGCCAAGTATTCCGGGCTGCTGTCTTACCACTGAGCACGGGCCAGCACTTTTATTTACTTTACTGCCTATATTACTTATACAAAGGACTTTCATTTGTGATATGTCCATGCTTGAATATAATATGCTTTGATCACATTTGCCCCCTCTATTGCTCTTTCTTGAGAGCTATTTGTAAACTTGCTGACAACCTACTTTTGGGAAAGGCAACAGCATTTGTTCAAGGTCCAACAATTTGTTGGAACTTTGATGATTTCTTTAAGTGGTCTGTCTGTGACAAGTGGCTTGGTTAACTATGGCAGCTGATTTATTCTTGGCAGGAATGACCTCCACCGCATCTCTCTCTGGTAGCACCATGTATTTTCAGTTTGTACATGTCAGTGAGGACTGCGTGGCCCACTGATTTCGGGGGAGCACTAACAATTCACTCACTCACTTGTTCAGCAATCACTAAGTTCCTACTTGTGACCAGCACTGCCCTAAGCACTGTGAATTCAGCAGAGACAAATCAGGTGTGTGTGTGTGTGTGTAACAATTTGCTCTGGGAACTATGCTGACGTCTTCCAAGGGTGACACCCCCAATGATCTAACTACCTCCCATGAGGCCCCACCTTCTGAACGTTGTGCCACTTCTCAGCTTCCCCTCACTGGAGACCAAGCTTCCAGCACATGGTCTTTGGGAGACTGGACTGCACACTCAAACCACATCCAGACTACAGCTTCTTGTAATGGTTTTGGGGATTAGGTTGTGTCTCCACTGTTTTGTCTTCCATAACCCTGTGGACACTATATTCTTGTGGTACATTACTTTAGGTAGGTTAGTTTGATGACTGGTCTGGAGAGGTGACATGTGAGTAGAGTATTCAGGGAGCGGAGGTAGTGAGCATTGTAAATATTTGGGGAGAGGACTTAGCAGATAGAAAACAGCATGTGCAAAGGCCCTGTGGTGGCAAGTGTATGGAGTATTTGAAAAAGGAGGTTGGTAATGGGTGCAGAGACGGGACCTGGCCTGGATGGTGGTTAATGAGGAAAGGAAGGGGCAGTGGCTGCACCATGGGAACTGTTAGGCTGTGTGCAGATCTTTGGCCTTTTGTGCAACTGTGGGGACATTCTTCTTACACGTTCTCCAGTGACTTACACACATTGTACCAAACCAAGTCCTGTTGGTGGAATAAGATGTTTTCCCCTTTGTTCCAGGACAGGACTGTAGCTCTGCCGCAAAAGCAGAGTAGCTTTTTCTATCCACGCCAGATATGTCCAGTCTTTCCATAGTGTTTACTTCCATTCAAGCAGTAACCACTTCCTGCACACTGTGGTAGGTGAATGTGGAGGTGGGTTAGGTATGCCTTCCCTGGTGGCATTTATTTATTTAATTATTGGCAGCCTGGGGTTTGAACTCAGGGCCTTGTGCTTGCTAGGCTGGTGCTCTACCACTTGGGTCATGCCCCCAGCCCCTCCCAGCCACTTTAAGTTATGTTTTGAATAGGATTTTGTGTTTTTGCCCTGGGTGGGCCTGGACGGTGATCTTCCTCCCTATGCCTCCTGAGTAGCTGGGATGACAGCTGCATGCCACCACACTGTGCTCATTGATTGAAATGGGGTCTTGCTAATTTTTTGCCTGGACTGGCCTGGAGCCATGGTCCTTCCAATCTCTACCTACCAAGTAGCTGAGATTATAGGTGTGTACCACCACGCCTGGCCTTCTGTGACATTTGCTATACTGAAGAATTCTCACCAGCCTGCCCTGATAGGCTGTGGTTCTCTGAGTAAAGGGACTTCCTACCACAGTAACTGTAAGTTCCCTACCCTGCCCTCCATTTGCTCACAGATGGAACAATTACCCAGCCCCTTTCTCTTCTCATATCCTTGTTGTGGGGGGGATGGTCACACAGGGATTCCAGGGCCAAGGCTGTCTAATTCATCCCTCTGTCCTTGACTATGTGATGTAGGCAGTTGCCACTCTGTTTCCTTAACTTTGAAATGGGGTCTGTGAGGAAACAGAAGGCTTTGAACTCTGATTCTGCTGAGTCCCTCTCTCTCTCCTCTCTCTTCCTCCTCCACCTCCTTCTGCTTCTCCTCCTCCTGCTCTCCCTCCTTCTCTTCTTCCTCTTCCTCTTCCTTCTCAGATGACACCTGTCTTCCTTGTCCCCCAGAACCTCCTCCTTCACTCTCCTTCCTGTCACCCAGTGAGTCCTCCCTAGAGATCTGTGAGGCTCATCCTGTCACTTGTCTTTCCAGGAGCAAGTGTGTGGCCTGTGTGGGAATTTCGATGGCATCCAAAACAATGACTTCACCAGCAGCAACCTCCAGGTGGAGGAAGACCCCGTGGACTTTGGGAATTCCTGGAAAGTGAGCTCGCAGTGTGCTGACACCAGAAAGGTACCACTGGAGTCTGTGTGGACAGAACTGAGAGGCCTGTTTCCTTGTGCCCACCCTACCCCCAGTTCTTATGGAGTTGGAGGGTGGCGGGTGGCAGGACCTGCAGGTAGTAGCAGGGCCAGGAGCATGGTCTCTTGCATCCTTCTTTGGCTGGCTGACAATTGGCCTCTCTGTGTTTTCTTCCCTGTTCCCAGGCAGGGCTGGAAGTATCCCCGGCCACCTGCCATAACAACATCATGAAGCAGACGATGGTGGATGCTTCCTGCAGGATCCTCACAAGTGACATTTTCCACGACTGCAACAAGCTGGTGAGTGCCTTGAGGGTGGGGAGAGGCACAATGGTGAAGGCCTGGCCCAGTGGCTTGGGCACCTCGAGCATGGTACCTATGTAGCCTGACGTCTTGAAGCAGTCCACACTCAGACACCACTGGCATGTTCTCCTGGCTTATGGCTGAGAGGCAAAGAGGAAAGCAGTGGCTGGCAAAAGACAGTGGAAGCTCTTGGCATCCATGAAGCCTCCACTTCTCTTTTGGCCTCAGTCCTGGGGTTTGCTCCCCTTTGCATTTTCTTGTCTTTAACACCAGAGCCAAGGATTTCCTTTTCCTGTTATGGGTCTACATCTCCAGACCCAAGGACCACACCCTCCCCTGCCAGTCATCATCCCTGTTACCAAACAAACAAACGAGCCTTTAGTGTCTGTCCAGTTCTCTTCTCACAGAACTCTTTTCTGGCCTTACTTCTAGTGATTTTTGAATCCTTACTCTTTTTGTGTCTCTTTTGTTGTCATTGGTGGTGGTGGTACTGGGACATGAATTCAGGGCCTTGCATTTGCCAGGCAGGTGCTCTACCACTTGAGCCATTCCACCAGCCTCTTTTTGCTTTAGTTATTTTTCAGACAGAGTCTCCTGTTTCATGAAAGATCACAATTCTTCTACCTGTGCCTCCTGCATAGCTGGGACCATAGATGTGTGTACCACCAAGCCTGGCTTATTGATTGAGATGGGGTCTGGCTAACTTGTTGCCTGGACTAGCCTCAAACTGTGATCCTCCCAGAGTCTGCCTCCTGAGTAGCTGGGATTACAGGCATGAGCCACCACACCCAGTCCTTCTTTTCATGTCTTTATCTCAAATGATGACAAGGACTCCCCTAAACAAAGTTAAATGCACTTCTCTTTCTTTCTTTGTATATATGTATAATGTGCACAGGCATGCTATGGGTACATGTGTATGATTATGTATATGTACACATACCTATTGCTGTATAGTACCACCAACATGCAGTGACTAGCTGAATACATGTATCTCAATTCTCTTTCTGTCCATCCAAAGATCTTCAGTCCATGAGAACTCCAGAATCACATAAGGAGTCCCTGGGTTGGTGGCATCTGAGCTGGAGGACTGAAGCAAGAGAGGCATCAGGGAATCAGGACTGTTAGGGTATCTTGGAAACAATGAGCAACTTGTGTGAATTCATTTCTGTCTCAAACACCTGAAAGCCCAGTGGGTGCACTAGCATGTTTTGGGAACAGGAATGGTGGGAAATGGTTAGTAGGAATGAATCTGGGTGGTGAGTGGGCTGGCCCCTCTCTACGTGTAGACTTGGGGTCAGTCTTGGAGTGGCTGGTTGGGTCCTACTGGCTACATACTTGCCCCATAGCTCCTGGGTGAGGCAACTCGAGGGAGTCCTGATGCATTTTCCCATTCTCTTCACTGCATTGAGGAAAGGAAAAGACAGTGCCAGCCTGTGTGTGTTTGTGTAGAAATGTCCACATCCATGGGTTATGGGAGTGGGTAGATGGCTGAGCAGGTTGATGGGAGATGGACAGAGGCAATGTTCTTTTGAAACCTTCTAGGCTGGGTTCGGTGGCTAATGCCTATAATCTCAACTACTCAGGAGGTAGAGATGGGGAGGAGAGCCTTGGTGTGAGGCAAAAATGCGAGGCCCTATCTAAAAAATCAGGCAAAAAGGAATAGGGGCAGTGGCTCAAGTGGTGGAGTACCTGCCTAGCAAGTGTGAGGCCCTGAGTTCAAACTCCAGTACTGCCAAAAAAAAAAAAAAATGGAAAAATTCTAAAAGCTCATTGTATTCTAGGAAGGGTTGACAACCCTGTTTATTCCACATTTCTTACTGGGATCCCGATTACAAACTAGCAGTCTTGGCTTTTTTGCTGTCGTTTCTTGTTGTGGCTTTCCTTTTTCCATCTGTGTGAAGCCCTTTCTTGTACTGACCACCAGAACGTTCTCACCCCAACCAAGAGCCAGACCTCTAGCTCCTGATCACCTGAGCCTCCTTTCACAGGTGGACCCTGAGCCGTACCTGGACGTCTGCATTTATGACACTTGTTCCTGTGAGTCCATCGGGGACTGTGCCTGCTTCTGTGACACTATTGCTGCCTACGCCCATGCGTGTGCCCAGCGCGGCCAGGTGGTGGCCTGGAGGACAACCACGTTGTGCCGTGAGTCCTGATGCCCTCAGGGTCTCAGACTCCCTCACCCCACCATGAGTACCTAGACTTGAAGGCCTGTGGAGGGCAGGAGGGCAGAGAGGGAGAGTAAGATGGTAATGTAGGAGTTCACACCATGAGTGAGCAGGGCATGGATTCAAGACGTTGATATGTGGCAACTTCTGGAGAAATTCTGGAGAAGGAGAAGAGGGGTTACTGATGGATAGAAGGAAGTCAGGATGTGTCTTTACTTAGTCACAGTCATAGTTGCCACTATGAGTGGTCAACTTACATGTTTATAGAGTCTGTCTTCCTTGCGTGTAGGTGACTTAATGTTTTAATACAGAAAGCTAACTCAGACCCCCTGGGTTCCTGATTTAGGTCCTTTAAAAAATAATCCTGAAGTCTCCACAATGTGACTCTGTTAGCCCTCAGTTCCCCACCTCCTGGTGCCATCCCACCCTGGCCCCGTGGGTCTTCTGGGTTTGCTCAGGGCTTTTGCTGTGGCCCTGAAACATCCACACAGGCTGCTGATGACTCCTGGTGCTTTTGTGGTCATGGCCTTTTCTTCTGTGTACACAGCCCAGAGCTGCGAGGAGAGGAATGTCCAGGAGAACGGGTATGAGTGCGAGTGGCGTTACAACAGCTGTGCGCCTGCCTGTCCTGTCACCTGCCAGCACCCTGAGCCACTGACCTGCCCTGTGCAGTGTGTGGAGGGCTGCCATGCACACTGCCCTCCGGGTGAGGCCTCTTCCTGGGTGGGGTGGGATGGAGGGGTGGGTCGGTTCTCAAGACACGTGTGTTCCCTTCCTCTCCTGCTTCATCTTAGCCTCTGCCCAGTGGTCCCTATCCTTAACCTTGCAGTCCACCAGTGTCACCAGGGTCTGTTTCCCTAGGAGCCTTCATCAAAGCCAGGCCTGCTCTGAGTTTTGCTAAGCTGAGCTCCTATCAATTTTTTTTGTGGTGCTAGAATCGAACCCAGGTCCTTGCACATGTTTAGCATGTCTTTTATTAGTGAGCTACATCCAGCCCTTCCTATAAAATCTTTCATGAGCCTATTTATGGTCTTATCACACAGAGCAGTCCTTTCTTTCTTTCTTTCTCTTTCTTTCTTTCTTTCTTTCTTTCTTTCTTTCTTTCTTTCTTTCTTTCTCTTCTCTCTCTTCTCTCTCTCTCTCTCTCTCTCTCCCCCTCCCTCCCTCCCTCCCTTCCTTCTTCTGCTCCTCCCTCCCTTCCTCCCTCTCTCTTTTTTCTTTCTTCTTTCCCTCTCTCCCTTTCTTTCTCTCTCTCTTTCTTTTTCTGGAGACAGGATCTTGCTGTGGTAGCATAAGCTGGCCTCGAACTTCCAATCCCCTTGTCTCAGCCTCCTGGGTTAGAGAGTTTGGGCAGTGCTTTCTGATAGAGCTTTCTGCAGTGGTGGGGTTGTTCTACGGAATATAGTGGTGACTAGCGTGTCTGAGGAATTGAAGTGTTCATTTCATTGATTTTTGCTTAATTTAAATTTAAATAGTCACAGTGGCTAAGGGCTATCACGTTAGACAGCTGCTTTCAAGTCTTCATGTGTTCGACTCCTAATGAGAGGAATATTGTGCAGGGAAAATCCTGGATGAACTTCTGCAGACCTGCATCGACCCCCATGACTGCCCCGTGTGTGAGGTGGGTGGCCGGCGATTGGCACCAGGAAAAAAAGTCACCTTGAACCCTGATGATCCTGTGAACTGCCAGACTTGGTAAAAATGGATTCCCTGCTTGGTGAAGAGATAGGTCTGACTGTCTTCTTTAGGGGCTGCTCAGAGATTGGGCTCTGGATAAAACTTCCAGCTAAGTCTATTGAAATATTGAGTTTAGTTTGTTAATTCATTCATTAATTCATTTCTTATTATTTTGTCTGTTTCTAGAGTTTGCTTTTCTTTCTGAAGAGCAGACTAGACTGCTTCCTCCCCAAATTTTTCTGGAGAGGTTTTATCCCCTCAGATTTTTTTTTTTTGCTTTCTCTCCTCTCCTGTCCCCTCTTCTCTTCTCTCCTCTCCCCTCCCCTCCCTACCTCTCCCTGCCTTCCCTTCTCTTCTCTTCCCTATTTCCTCCTTCTCCTCTCCCTCTGTCCCTCTCTTCCTCTCTTGATTAACATGCAACACTTGTACATTTTTGTTGGGTACGGTGTGCAATTTCAACACATGCACACAGTAAGTACTAGTCAAATCAGGGTGATTAGCATTCCCACTTATCATTTCTTCGTAGCTCTTATTGTCCCTGGAGGTCACATCTGGTCTGAGGACTGGTATCTATGAAAGTCAGAATTTTTTTTAAGGAGACAGTGATGCAGAGGAAGAAAGCTAGATGGATACTCTGACCCCTCAGTATAACATAGACATCTTGGGGTCACAGGGCACAGCTTTCCTAATAGGGAAGGAAGGTGTCATAGTGGTCTCTCACCAGAATTGCCTCTGGGAACCTGACTTGTGGGATGGTGAGGCATCCTCAGGGTGAGTGCTGAGTTTTCCGAAGTCCTGCTCTTAAGTATGGAACATTTATTAAAATGCTGTTCTATTCAACACCACTCCCTGACACCAACCAAGCCTAATGGGAACTTAAACTTGAGAACTTCAACTGCTGGGGAGGGGGCTGTGGCCACAGCTGCCAGAGCCAGATTCTGCCGTCACCATCTGTACAAACAAGAGCGAGCACTGCCTGGGGTGAGTTTTCTAGCAAACACAGGAAACGAGAAAGTATGTCACTCATGTACTGCTAAGCAAGGATTGAGGCAGTAAATCCTCGGGACCAGGAGGAAGGAGCAATTCACTTCCCAGTAAGATCTTGCCTGCAGAAGCAGACAGAAGGAATGAATGGGGTGTGTCCACTCCTGGCTTGGAGTTCTCAGCCAAAAAGGCATAAGACCTACCACCCCCTTGCGCACGGGGAAGGCCAGCTACTGTGGTCCGTGCTGGAGCTTCTCATGTCAGTCGTCTTGGTGAAAGAGTTCCGTAGTGAGGCCATGGCAGGGGCACTGCCCAGGGCTCAGGGAAATGCACCATCTCAGCTTTACTGGGAGGCTAAAGGCTGAGGGTCCAGTTTGCATGGGTCCCCACCACAGGGTACCTTGATCTCCTCTATGGTCTGGCATACCCTGTCACTTTCTAGGATACTGCAAAAGGGCAAAGTGAACTAAAAGCCTGGAAATTTGCCTGATACTGTTGGAATTAGTGGGTGGGGCAGTTACTCTGATACAGACTTGTGGGCGTCTTGGGGATGGGCACAAGGCCCAGTCAGTACCTGCAGATATAGGTGCTTACCATGTCCCCATGGGCAGAAGAAATTGGGGAGCTGCTGTCTTGTCCTAGAGCTAATACCTAGAGACTTCTTGTGCTCATGTTGCATACTTTGTTCTGCTTAAGTAAAACTGGGATTTTGAATTTTTATTCCTCTTTCCAAAATGTTTTTTACTCTAGTTTTTCTACTCTTCCTTAAGGTCCAACATATAAAAACTGATTCAGAAATCCATACAGCTTTAAGTTCCAATAACCATTTATATTTTTTTTTGTGTAAACCATTTATTGTCAATAGAACATTTACAAATCCTGGTCAGAGCCAACATTTTAGAGCAATAGTTGTCCTTGGAGATACTTGTAAGAATGTTTGGATTATAATTAAATGTTAATGTGGCTAGAGATGGAGGTTGGAAAGAACTCATCATTGAAGACTGTGTGAATGGCTTAGAATAACATAATATTTTCTAGGTCCTAAGATGGATTAAAGCTTTGGCTTCTAGAACCAAGGAAAACCTCTGCTCTGTGTGTGTGTGTGTGTGAGTGTGTGTGCGCGTGTGTGTGTGTGTGCATGCTTGTATATGTATGTATGTACATGTGTGGATGTTAGAAATGACATCTCACTCCGATGGGGACTGTTCCATGGGAGCAAACAGACTGCCGTATGGAGTACATGCAGTGACACTACACTGTGGGGTTGATATATGCCCGAATATTCTTCCCAAATCATTTTGGTTTCTTCCTCCTCTGCTGCAGTCACTGTGATGGTGCCAATCTTACCTGCAATGCATGCCAGAAACCTGGCGTCCTGGTGGTGCCCCCCACAGAGACCACAGTCATTCCCACCACTCCTTATGTGGAGGACACCCCAGAGCCACCCCTGCATGACTTCTACTGCAGCAAGCTGCTGGATCTGGTCTTCCTGCTGGATGGCTCCTCCAAGCTGTCTGAGGCTGAGTTTGAAGTGCTCAAGGCCTTTGTGGTGAGCATGATGGAGCGGCTGCACATCTCCCAGAAGCGGATCCGTGTGGCTGTGGTGGAGTACCACGATGGCTCCCATGCCTACATTGAGCTCAAGGCCCGAAAACGGCCGTCAGAGCTGCGGCGCATCGCCAGCCAGGTGAAGTATGCAGGCAGCCAGGTGGCCTCCACCAGCGAGGTCTTGAAGTACACCCTGTTCCAAATCTTTGGCAAAATTGACCGCCCTGAAGCCTCCCACATCACTTTGCTCCTGACTGCCAGCCAGGAGCCCCCACGGTTGACCCGGAACTTAGTCCGCTATGTCCAGGGCCTGAAGAAGAAGAAGGTCACCGTGATCCCTGTGGGCATCGGGCCTCACGCCAACCTCAAGCAGATCCGCCTCATCGAGAAACAGGCTCCTGAAAACAAGGCCTTTGTGCTCAGTGGAGTGGACGAGCTGGAACAGAGACGCGACGAAATCATTAGCTACCTCTGTGACCTTGCCCCGGAGGCCCCTCCCCCCACACAGCCCCCCAACCTGGCACAAATCACAGCGGGTCCAGAGCTCCTGGGGACTTCATCACCAGGACCCAAGAGGAACTCCATGGTTCTGGACGTGGTGTTTGTCCTGGAGGGGTCAGACAAAGTTGGCGAGGCCAACTTCAACCGGAGCAAGATGTTCCTGGAGGAGGTGATTGAGCGCATGGACGTGGGCCAGGATGGCATCCACGTCTCGGTACTGCAGTACTCCTACATGGTAACCGTGGAGTACACCTTCAGCGAGTCCCAGTCCAAGGGCGAGGTGCTGCAGCACGTGCGGGAGATCCGCTACCAGGGTGGTAACAGGACCAACACCGGACTGGCCCTACAATACGTGTCTGAGCACAGCTTCTCTGCCAGCCAGGGGGACCGGGAGCAAGCGCCTAACCTGGTCTACATGGTCACAGGAAACCCCGCCTCTGACGAGATCAGGAGGTTGCCAGGAGACATCCAGGTGGTGCCCATTGGTGTGGGCTCTCATGCTAACATGCAGGAGCTGGAGAGGATCGGATTTCCCAATGCCCCCATCTTCATCCAGGACTTTGAGAAGCTTCCCAGAGAGGCTCCAGACCTGGTGCTACAGAGATGCTGCTCTGGACAGGGGCTGCAGCTTCCCACCCTCCCCCCTGCCCCCGGTATGCTGGTGCCCTGTGTGCAGGTGGGAAGCTGGGGATGGCTTTAGCATTGCATGTATCTTGTAGCATCCTTTCTCACTATGCTTGGTGAAGCCCCTTTCTCAGAGGCCTGGGTTTTCTTCTTCCAGGCAGAGGGCTGCTCTGTGAGTATTTTTGGGGTAAGGATATTTTCTTATTGGGTGGGTTTGTAAGTCAAAGTTAATACAAGTCCATTGTTAAAATGTAAACAATACCAAGGCTATGGAATGAAAAATGCCAGTCTTCCCTTAACCCCAACCCATCCTTACTCAATCCCGCTTTCTGTCTTCAAGGTAGCCTCTCTTAATTTTGGTGAGTGTCAGCTCTCTTTTGACTACTAGACAGAATTCCTCCAAGTAGCTAACACTCCTTGGGACAAGGCCAGGAGATCAGGTGACAGGTGGCAGGTTAAGTATTCTGAGCTGGGAGCTAGACTCCTGTGTCTTACCTCTGCTACTCACTACCTGGTGATTTTGGGCAAGTAGTTAACCTCTTTGTATGTCAGTCTCCTCCTCTGTAAAATGAAGATAATTACAGCACTGCTTGTAAAATGCTTAAAGCAGTACCTAGCTCAAGCAAGTGGTCAAACGTTGTTACTGCCTTAGGGTAACTGATGGTGGCATGTCATCAGTTCCTGGTGCCTTTTACTTTACTTATTTTTTGGCCATACTGGGGTTTGAACTCAGGGCCTTATGCTTTTTTGTTTTCAGTTATTTTTCAGATAGTATTTTTCAGATAGTATTTTTGTCTGAGGCCATCTCAGACCAAGATCCTCCTACCTGTACCTCCTGTGTAGCTGGGATTACAGACATTACACCATGCCTGCTTGTTTCTTGAGATAGAGTCTCACCAACTTTTTGCTCAAGCTGACTTTGAACTGTGATCCCATCTCTCATTCCCAAGTAGCTGGGATTAACCATGAGCTGCAGCACTCTGCCAGTTCCTAGCTCTTGCCTGTTGTATTTGGTATAGTTAGGACCATCCCAGAATAACTGGCTGTCTTTTGGTGTCTCTTGAGCCCCACACTTATCAATGTCTTTGTTTTTCATTTTTGCTTGGTTTTTAATCAGAGCCATTGATGTATTTAAATCCCTGTGACATTTCCACCAAGGAGAAAAGTATTAACGTTGTCTGATTCAGTCTTAGAATGTGTTCAAGCCAGTTTGTTTCCTTGCTGTGATCATGACTATGACCAAATACTACCATGAGCACTTGACATTGTAATAGGAATCGCTCAGAGTACCTTCACCTGCCCAGTCATATCTGAGGACACAGATGCTCATTTTCCAGGGATAGGCAGCTGCTCTGTTTCTTTTTGCTGTCTTCTTGTTTTGCTGCTTCAGTATTTCACTCTGTTCTACAAGAGTGTCAACTTCCTGTTACTTAGCATGCAGAAGCCTTTTGTTTTCATTTCTAGGCATTTCGGCTTCCTGTGGGAGGAGCTAGAGTCTTCTCACTGTCCCCAAACCTGGGCCCTCATGGGCCTAGGACCCATCTCCCCCTTTCCTTCCTCTCTGGCCCATGTTGCCACCTCACTAGTGAAGACCTCCCACCTTGGTGGTGCCCTGTGTTCAGGGCTGAAGAGTCTGCTGTATGTGGCATTGACTGCTATGGGCCTAATGGCCAGCCTTCTGCTGGCACCTGTAAGCCCACCTTCCTTATCTTCCCTGCAGACTGCAGCCAGCCCCTGGACGTGGTGCTCCTCTTGGATGGCTCCTCTGGTTTTCCAGCTTCTTACTTTGATGAGTTGAAGAGTTTCACCAAGGCTTTCATTTCAAAGGCCAACATAGGTGAGCAATGTACCCAAAGTCTCAGGTACAGAAGAGGTTCTTCTTTGGGCTCCACTTGATCCCAAATGACTCCCATTTTCTCTCTCCTGTTAGGGCCTCACCTCACTCAGGTTTCTGTGCTCCAGTATGGAAGCATCACCACCATCGACGTGCCGTGGAATGTGGCCCAGGAGAAAGCCCATTTACTGAGCCTCGTGGACCACATGCAGCGGGAGGGTGGCCCCAGCCAAATTGGTAACTCTGGAGCCATGGGCTGAAGGCACAACCTCTGTTCTGGTCCTTATTCTGGGCCTAAGTGATTGAGTGACTTCTGCTGGTCATCTTGCTCCTTAGCCTGTAAAACAAGGGGCTGGATGCTGTTACAGGTCTTATCCAGACCTCCCGTGTGTACCTCTGAGTATCTGATTCAGCTTTTTAGTGACCTGAGGATTCCCTGTGAGACAGTATGATACTTCTGAAACACCTACTCTTTATATTTTTGGTGGGGCTGGGGTTTGAACTCAGGGCCTTGCACTTGCTAGGCAGGCACTGTATCACTTGAGCCCCTGCCCTTGGTCTGAAACACCTGTTCTTGTAGTCAGTACTGACTTGTTCTGTGCTCCTTCTTCAGGGGATGCTTTGGCCTTTGCTGTGCGATATGTCACATCACAAGTTCATGGCGCCAGGCCTGGAGCCTCCAAGGCAGTGGTCATCCTGGTCATGGATGTCTCTGTGGACTCAGTGGATGCAGCAGCTGATGCTGCCAGATCCAATCGTAAGTGTCCAGGGTGCAATCCTGAGCCTCTTTTAAAACTCTAGAGGAGTGAACGTGGTCATGGCTCCCTTTTGAATGTCCTAGCTGATTTAAAATACACTCCATACCCATCTGTGGCTTGGTTTCAAACAGAAGGAAATTGTCCAATCATTGTCTTACTGGAAATGTGTATTTAGCCTATTCTTGTCTGCACCCTTTAGATGGTAACCTTAATTTTTTTCCTGTTTTTCCTCCTATGTCCAGGGGTGATTGTACTTCCATACCTTTTGTTTTAAAAGTGATGTTCTTGGTCTTTCTCCAGAATGACAGGAGTGAGGCCAGAGTTAACACTGTGGAACCTTGAGAACTATTAGGACTTTCAAACATCCAGTGACCTTTCCTGGTGCCAGGCTAATGGACCAGGAGGAGGTAGATGGACCAGGCTAATGGACCAATGGAGGTAGATGAGCAAGAGACAAAGGATGGTACCCTAGGAAGGGGAAGGGCATGGATGTGACTCAGCCTTGGTGCCCTATAAGAATCTGTCCTGTGAATAGCAAGAGAGTGTGAGCTAGGATGGTGATGTAGTGTTCTGGGGATGGAGGAGGGAAGGCTGGGTGAGTCCCCTCATGGCTACCTGGGGAACTGTTTTTTTTTTTTTTTTTTTTTTTTTTTTATATGGTTTGAACCTTGCCTCCCACTTGTCTTTTCTCTGACACTTTCCTGGTGTTCTTTTGAGAGAGGCACTCACTCCATTCTCTGTACCTCATCAGAACTACTCCAGATGTCCAAATCATGTTATATTAATTTGTTAAGTACCTGTTTCTGGCACCAACTGAACATTCTGTCAAGGAAAAACTTGACATTTTTCCTATCATTTGTACATGGGATGCAAAGAATGGGTGACCATGTAATGTTTGAATGAATGAGAAGATTTTGTAATCTACTATTTTAAAGAAAAAGATACCAAAAGGTAAAAGATACACATTTGGGTGATACAACAAGCTTATATGAGCTTAAAAGTTACTGGTGGCTCTCCCAGGTAATACCAGCACTGGGAGGCTGAGGCAGGAGGATTGTGGGTTCAAGGTCAACCTGGGCTATATAGCAAGACCCTGTCTTAAAAAACCAAAAGAGAAAAAAAAGAGCTGAAAAGTTGCTAGTTTTCTATCTCTTGCCTCTCCTCCCAAGTGCTGAGATTTATAGCTATAGTCAATTTTTTTCTTGATGGTACTGAGGATTGCACTTTGGACCTTGTACTTGCTAGGCAGGTGCTTGCTCACCTATGGCCACCTGGAGAATGTAATTGTACCTCTGCTCTGGACCTGTGCACTCACTGTTCTCACTGCTTGGGCCATTCCTCCCCCAGGTGTCCTCTTGGCCCTCCCCATCCTTATTTCAGGTCCATTTCCAAATACTATCTTTCTATTGGACACTTCTCTAATCATCATATATGAACCAAAAGTTCCATCCCTACCTCTGGGCATCCCATCCTCCTTAGCCCATTTTGTTTTTTTCCCCCAAGTATCTACCCATATCTGAAATACTGTATATTTAGTTTTCTCTTATGTGTGTGTTGTCTGGCCTTCATTTGTGTAAGCTCCATGAGGACAGGGTGTGACAGGAACTTTTTCTGCTTGGCTCCCTACTGTATTCCCATTGCTTAGAATACAACCTGTCACTCACCAGGAACTTCTTAATGCTGTTGACTTAGTGAATGTCCAGCTCATAGGGTTGGCATATGTGGCAAGTCTGGAAAACATGAAGTTCTATACATGGTGCTGGCCATAGCATTGGGCTGGTCTGTTTCGAGCCACCTGACCACAGACCTTTTTTTGCATCTCTCCTGATTTAGGAGTGACAGTGTTCCCCATTGGAATTGGGGACCACTATGATGAGGCTCAGCTGAGGATCTTGGCAGGCCCAGCGGCCAGCTCCAATGTGGTGAAGCTCCAGCGAGTTGAAGACCTCCCCACCATGGTCACGCTGGGCAATTCCTTCCTCCACAAACTCTGTTCTGGTGAGTTTCCTATATCTTTTTCATCCTCAAACTCCCCCCACCAAAAAAGCCATAAAAACAAAAATACCATTCTAGAGACCTGAGGATGCCTGTGCATAAGATTTGGCCATAAGTTAAGATTTCTATGTATACAAGGACCTTTAAGTTTCTGTTTAGGGACGGCACATGCCACAGACTTCCAGGGGCCCTGGGAAGGTGTCTGTGCATAGTCCTCTTCCAGTTGTCCATCTGAACTTGGGCAAGAAAGCCTATGTTTGTTTGTGCACAGGGATCTTGGACAAAAGAATTAAAAGACCTGAACAGGGAACCTCAAAATCCTGAATGGCCTTATTCTCTCTCTCTCTCCCTGTCTTTGAGACAAGATATCATTATGTAGCCCAGGCTGGCCTTGAACTCACAATCCTCCTGTCTTCACCTCCTGAATGCTGGGATTACAGGTGCGCACCTCTACACCCAGATATGCTCACTCTTTTTTTTTTTGTGGTACTGGGAGTTGCCTTGTTTGCAACGCAGGTGTGTTACCACTTGAGCCACACCCCCAGTCATTTTAGTTATCTTTTGAATAGGGTCTTCAGTTTATGGTGGGGCCAGAGGGACTGCAAACCTCCTATTTATGATTCCTGTGTAGTTGGGTTCACAGGTGTGTGTCACCATGCCCAGCTATTGTTTGAAATTGGGTCTCGAGAAGTTTTTGCCCAGGCTGACCTCGAACCCTGATCCTCCCACTCTCTACCTCTCTTGTAGCTGGAATTACAGATGTGAGACACCACACCTTGCCCTATACCACTCTTAGCATGAATATAAAGGTTTTTAGAAATACAATATCAAAAGACCATAGGTTAAGTTGATTTTAGATTACAAACTTGTTTAAAACAACACATTTTTAAGTTTGTTTCTTAAAGTATATTTTTCTAATGTAATTAGCTATGTCAAGGGGCTTCTAGATAATTCTATTAGATTGGGAGGAAGACTGTGCACAGAGTCGGTCCCTTTTCTGCTAAATGTGGCTGTCCTGGTAGCAATCTTCAAGCAGATCTCTTTCAAGTTTTCTGGATCTTGCTTTATACTCCCACCCCCATTCCTGACGGGGAAAGGAGATATTGACTGTGTGACTGTGCAGGTTATTACTATTGTCATCATCCCAGTCATCAGTTACCACCAGGATGTCTGAAGGACCGTAGGATAGTCACCTCTCTTCCTTGTGTTCCCCATCCCTGCTGTGAAGCCCTCTTGGATTCTTTTCATAGTAGAGTTGACTTTGAGGACTAGACCAGGTCGCCCAAGCAGACACTGTGAATGGTTTAGAATTTCTGAGCAATTCAATAGGTTGGAACTGAGGTCTTCTTTGTGTCTGTTTCAGGGTTTGCTAGAATTTGCATGGATGAGGATGGGAATGAAAAGAGGGTAAGTCCCTTTCCATTGACTTGGAAAGAAAGATCAGAAATGTATGTTCATTTTCCCTATTTTGACCTAAGCCCAGTTCTCTGCTTACTATTATCCCATTTTGGGAATCCAGCTGTAAATTTTGCATTCTACTTCCTGTCTCATGTACAGCCTCTTTGCCTGTAACGACGATGTCCAATCTTAATCTCTGTGTTCTCAGAGGTGGCCAATTGTGTAGGGACTTAGAGTTGGAGTTCCTCATACCATTACCTGCTGGAATCTGTTTTTTTCTTCTGCAGCCTGGGGATGTCTGGACCTTGCCAGATCAGTGCCACACAGTGACCTGCCTGCCAGATGGTCAGACCTTGCTGGAGAGTCATCGGGTGAACTGTGATCGGGGTCCCAGGCCTTCCTGCCCCAACAGTCAGTCACCTATTCGGGTGGAGGAGACCTGTGGCTGCCGCTGGACCTGTCCCTGTGAGTCCTTTGCTTGTCCAGGCTGGATTGGGTCAAGGGAGAAGTGCTTTGAACTTGGCTATGCAGAAAGCTAGAGTAGAAACCAGTTCCCTCCTTACTGCACACACCATGCTAACTCTTCCCACTTGCGTCTCTCCCATGGTCTCTGCTCTCTGGGAGGGGCTTCCCAAGATCAAATATGCCTCGAAGGAAGAGTTGCTTCTCTGAGATCAGCACTTAGGAGTCTGTGTGTTTGGGTTATACCAGTGAAAAATGTAACAGTGAGAATGTCACCGGAAAAACTCTCCAGTCACACTTGCAGCTGTATGAGGCATCAGGTGGCCTATAGAGGAAGACGTAGTCCAGTTCATCTCCTGTAAGCCTGTGGAAAGCAAGCGTTCATCTGTGGGGTGGATGAGCATGCTCCCTCATGGTTGGGAGAAATGGCTGCTTATGATGAACCATGTGGCAGTGGATGGCTCACTGTGGGTACAGACATAATTGCGGGGTGCCACCAAAAGTTTTTATATCTCACTCACCCTTTAGAATTCATTGACTGGGACAGATTTCTCTCCTAGCCTAGATGGAGACTCTCCCAGCCCTCCTGTTACTTCTTTTTCTTCATAAAGAGTTCTGCGGTCACTTTAAGTCATCAAATAGTTTCAACTGGTAACCAGATGCCCACTTCTGTTCAATAACTGAAACTTCGAACTTGATCAGAGTTAAAACACCTCCCTAGATCCAGTGTGGACTGCCTTTCTCTGGGAAAGAGCTGGTCAGCTTCTCTCATTGCTTGGAGGGCAGAGATTGGGTGCTTCATGGGATAAGAAGGTCCTATGTGGCCGGCTGCTGAGTTGGGCTCTGCACATGTGGGCTGGTAGTGCTTAGGGCAGCTTCCTTCTCTTGCCAGTTCTCTGAAGGATTTCCTGAGAGGCCCCTTGTTCAGTCCTTTGCCTGGCTCCTGCTTCTCCCTATGAAGTTTCTGGTTCTAGATCCAACCCCTCATTGCTCTCTCTCTCTTGGAGTCCTCTCCAGCCTTTGGCAGAAGTTCTCTTGGACAGCGTCACTTCTGATGCAACCTCAGGCCATCGTTCCTTCTGGAGGTCCTAATTTAGTTGTCAGGGTTCATGAGCCTCTGTCCCACCAATGGGACAAAGCAAGCAACTGTTTTGCTTTTTCAAGTAGTAGCAAGTCTCTCCCTTTCTGCCTGGCCTCCTTCGGTCAATAGGTTCCCCAGGCAGGTGTCAGGCACTGGCCATGTTCCCCATAACTGCACAGAACCTATGCCCATTTCCTGGAGTGACTCCCTGAGAGTTGTAACCACTGGGCCTGGGGCCTCCCATTTGTTCTGCTGGGAGACTCACATTTGCTTTCTTCAAATAAATTTCTTCTTAATGCTCAGCCATCAATACCCTTCTTGACTCCTTTTATACTCTTACAGAGTGGAGGCCTTCAGGAGTGATAAAAACAATATTACTAAATTACAATTTTTTTTCAGCAATACTGGGATTTGAACCCAGGGCTTTGAGCTTGCAAGGCAAGGGTTCTACCACTTGAGCCACACACCTCCAGCCCTTTTTGCTCTGGTTATTTTGGAGACAGGATTAGCCTGGACAGTGATCTTCCTATTTTAAGCTTCCTGCCATAGCTGGGATGACGGGCGCATGTGCCAGACTCAGGTTTTTTTGTTTTTCTTCCCATTGACATGGAGTCTCTTGAACTTGCTTCCTCGGGCTGGCCTGAGTGCTGGGATTACAGATGTGAACCACCATGCTCTGCATTTAAAACAAAAAACATTTAAAATGTTTTATTTTGAATAATTTCAAATGTAGAAAAATTGCTTTTTTTTTTTCCCTTAAAAGTATGTCTTGGAGTTCAAAGGGAACTTCTTAGTTCTTTTTTGTGAACCGTAGTTTATTCAGCTTCTCCATGCATGGTGGTTCAGTTACAAGCAGTGCTGCACTGATCAGCCTTGTGTGTGTGAATTTTCCTGAAGCTGACTCTCCTTCAATATTTTCTCCCATTTTTCCTGATTGTCATAATTTTCTTCCTTCCTTCCCCACTTGCTTCTCCTCCCTCCACCCTTTTCCTCCCTCCTCCCACCCTTCCTTCCTTCCCTTCTTCCATCCTTTCTTCCCTCCTTCCTCCCACCCCTTTCCTTCCTTCCTTCCTTCCTTCCCTCCTTCCCTCCCTCCCTCCTTCCTTTTGGTGGGAATGGGATTTGAACTCAGGGCTTTGTGCTTGCAAAGCAGGCACTTTACCACTTGAGCTACACTTCTTGTTCTTGATTTTCTTTTGATGATTTTTGCCTACAAATTTAAAGACATTATTTTGTCAATCTTTAATCAATTATTTTCTCTTACTGCTCTGGATTTTGAGTCATAGATTTTCCATACTGCAAAGTTAAAGAAGAGTTCAACCATATTTTCTTCTATTACATATATAATTTCATATTTGCATTTCAATACCTTTTCCATTTGGAGATCATTTTTTTGGGAGATCTTTCTTAGATATGGTCTAAAGTATGTAAGATCATCTTTTTTGGAATAGCTACCCAGTGTCTTTATTGGCTTGTCAAAAATTTGCTCTAGTGATGGAAGAAGAACGTTCATTGTATGTTAAATTTATTTATGGGCTTATTTCTGAAATTTTTGTTTGATTCTGCTCTTCATCAACTGTTCTTGTGCCAGTACTATTACCATCCTAATTCCAGAGGCTGTGATTAGTGCCTCCAGTGTTTGTCCAGTGCATTCTCTTATGTCTGTTTTTTTCCCATTTAGACTTCAGTGAATCTTTTTAAGCTCTATAAAATGTTTGCTGGTCTTTTTATTGGGATGGTCTATAGTTATGCATTGCCTTTGGAAGAACTGGCATCAAGGATTTCTGTCCACTTACTCAAGCTGACTTTTCTTTGGCGATACTGAGGTTTGAACTCAGGGCCTCATGCTTGCTAGGCAGGTGCTCTACCACTTGAGCCACTCTGCTAGCCCCTCAAGCTGACTTTTCTGTGTTTTAGGAGGGTTTTTAAAGTTTCCTCATAAAAGCTTTGCACATTTCTGGATATTTAAACTTTTTTGTTGCTCTTGTAAATTCCCTGCCCTATGTTATTTAGCTGGTTATTGTTTGTGCATGTGAGTGGTATTGGTTGGTTTCTGTATTTAATTTCACATCCTATGACCTTATTGAATTTTTCAATGAAATTTTTTTATCATAAATTCTCCAGAGTTTTCCAGAATGGTGCTATAGCATCTGGATATAGGATTGTTTTGCTTTTTCTTTCTCACTCTGTGCCTTCAAGTAATTTCTCTTGTATGTTGCATTTTTTTGTGCAATATTGAATAGTAATGGAGGCAGTGGGTATGTTTGTCTTGTTCCTTATATGAGTGAAAATGCCTCTAATATTTTGTTATTAAAACACTGGCTTTAGGGATAAGTGTATACAAGCATACAAAAACAAGAATGTATTACAACATATTTTACTATATTGGGAGAATATCCTTTAATTCTCATTTTGTTGAGTGCTTTTATTGTAGAATTTTATTGATGGTGAGGTATTTTTCAACATCTATAGAGATAATCAGTAGATGTATTGAAAATAAGAATTCCTTGGATACATTAATTTGATAAATTATTTAAAAAGATTTCCTAAAGTTGATTTTACTTGGTTATGATGTATTATTTTGTTAATGTGGATTTATTTGATAACATTTTATTTAGTTCCTTGACTTTGATATTCATAAGTGACATGGTCTATAGATTTACAATTATTGCTTTGAACTTTTGACAAATACATATAGCAAAACATTTACTATTTTAGCTATTTTTAAGTGATATTCAACATATTCACATTGTAAACTTCGCCACTGGCCACCTCTAGAACTTTCTTCATCTTGCAAAACTGAATCTGTATATTTATTAAACACTCATCCTCTCCATTCCCTGGAAGACGCTGTCTTACTTTCTGTCCCTCTGAATTTGACTACTATAAGTACCTTATGTATAATGTCATGTAATGTCTTCCTGTTCCGGCTGGCTTATTTCACTTAGCAAAATGTCTTCAAGGTTCACACATTTTGTCCTTGTGTTTATTTTATTTTTTTTGCAATGAAACATTTTAATTCCTTTTTAGTTTCTTTTGTGTATATTCTTTGGCTATTTTTTTGTCACTTTGGGAGTTTCATTTAATATCCTGAATTTATAACATTCTAAATTATACCATCTTAACTTTAATGATATACAAAACCCTGCTCATCAGTTCCTTAACCCCTTTCTATTACTGATGATACGATGTTGTATCTTTATATATAGCATGTGTCAACAAAAGGAGACTAATAATTGCTTTTTTAATGCATCTGTCTCTTAATTCATGAGAAAACAAAAAGTGAAGTAACAAACTAAAGTTCTAATAAGCTTCAAAATTTCTCTTTGGTTTCTTTTTATATTTTCTCTTTATGAATTTTCCATTTTTTCACACATCATTTTCATCACATCTTCTTATAGCTCTTGCTCATCTTTCAGAGAGTTGTGAAATCTTTGTTTAGTAAGTCTGTCATCTGGTTTCTCTCAGGGATAGTTGTGCTTATTTACTACATCAGACAGACTCCGACAGTGTGACTATTATCCCGGCGGGGAGATGGTGCTCCTTATCTTACCATCTTACCCCTGGCTCCCACGTGTAGGGATTTTTGGTATTATTTTAATATAGTTTAGATATTAATGTTAAGCTATGTTTCATGACCTAATTTCCTCCTGCTAGACCCTACCTCTTAAAGGTTCTCCCATCTCCCAGTTCTGTCACAGGCAGGTAACCAACCCTTTAACACGTCGGCCTTTGGGGGACTCTTATCCAAAACATAGGAAGGATCACTTGTAGCACAGTTTCGGTCCTGTTGCTTGGGACAGCAGCATTCGGTCCTGTTGCTTGGGACAGCAGCATTCGGTCCTGTTGCTTGGAAATGACTGAATGCTCAAGGACTTAGAGGAGTCTAAGTGAAGAACTTTTGTGGCTGCTCAGCTCTGAGAAACGCTACATCCAGACCTGCTAGTGGCTGTGCTCCCATGACATTTGCCCGTGAAGGTGGAGGTGCCAGGCCTGACTGTGATAAGGGACTTGATCCTCTCACTGCTCCCCAAGTCTGCCTCTCAGTGCTTGGGCTTTTATTCGTCCATCACTCCAACTTCATTTAGGCCCAAGATTAGCTTTCAAATCATTGATGGCAGTGGTATCTTCCACGTGGGGATTTTTACTGAGTCATCTTTTGTAGATGGAAAATGAGTAGTATTGTTGGGTTTGGGATTCAAGTGGTAGAGCACCTGTCTAGCAAGCACAAGGCTCTGAGTTCAAAACCCAGTACTACAAAATAATTAGTACTCCGAAATGGTGCTTTAATGGGAACCTTGAAAATTTGCTGAGTATATGAATGAATGAGGGCCAAATGAAGGAGCTCTGAGACCCAATCATTTATTTTGGCTCTGGAAATATTTCTCTTGTGTAATCTCATAAGGGATTAAGTCAATGTGGCCACTTGTACCATTAGTCACTTGGCAGCTGCAAGGACGCACGTGTCTTTAGGTGAATTTTCTTTACCATGAGGTCATGAGTTCATAACTTGCTTAGCAACTCGTGATTTCAACACATTATAACACCCTTGGAACTTCACTTTGTTTCCCGTGCCAAGGCATCCCTGTAGAGTGAATCTTTCACATTGTACATTTACATTTTTGGAAGTACAGTTCTATAATTTGCCACATTTTCATGTGTTATCTATCCTTGTGAACTTTCTCCAGGAAAATATTTAATGGACCAGTATCACTTACTTAATCCTCTCTACCCCCCAAGTCTCAGGTTCCTAAACTGTAAAAAAGGAAGAAATTAGACAATCGGGCTTCACAGGGCCTGGGAAGGTCACATTGCCTCTCTGCAAGCTGGAGGTATGGAGGTTTGGATAACGTGAGTCCATTCTCTTCTCTTCCCCATTCAGGTGTATGCATGGGCAGCTCCACTCGGCACATTGTGACCTTTGATGGGCAGAACTTCAAGCTGACTGGCAGCTGTTCCTATGTCTTGTTTCAAAACAAGGAGCAGGATCTGGAAGTGGTTCTCCATAATGGGGCCTGTAGCCCTGGGATGAGGCAGACCTGCATGAAATCCATTGAGGTGAAGCACAATGGCCTCTCCATTGAACTCCACAGCGACATGGAGGTGAGGGGTGCTTCCTGTGGGCAAGGCCACATGGAGTTGGTGGCAGCTGGTTGTAGCTGATGCTGTTGGTAGGGACTCAGCCTTCTGCCTGACTAGCAGAGGACTGTCTTCTTCTGCGGGTTCATTGCCATCTTCCTTGTCTTGGCGTGATTTCACGTTGCTCTGGGTCCACATTTGGAAGAATAAATCTATTTTATGAATTTAGTGCCAGTTTCTGGCACTAGCAAAGAACTGGGTTGGCACTAGGACTTTGTACCCAGTAGGTGTCATGAGCCCAGTGCCCAAGTACTGTGAGCTTTCCAAAGGGAAATATTTATGGTCTAAATCAGAGCCTTTGAAAATATTTAGGGCCTACACAAAAAGTATGGCTCCAAAATTTAAAAAGGAAACTGCCAAACTGATATAAATAAATGTTTGATTAAATGTTTACAAAAGGTTACATTATGCCAACATCTTTACGATTTCAGTTAGAAATCATAAATATTTCATTGCGTGAAAACAACTTGTAGCTAGATTTTCTCACTTCGTAAGAGTTTCTGAATTTGAACAATAATTGCTGAAAAATCATAGCTCGTCATATATCAAACAAGGAACTCATAGCCAAAAAAAATCTTTAAAAATCAAAGTGATAAAAAATCCTTCCAAAATTTATACAGCAATAATTATATTCATTGCAGGATGTGAGTACATTTTAATATGTTTGATGTGATAGATGATGGGGTCTTCTGAGAAGAGCTTCTAGTGACGAACTTGCATATAACAAGGATGTAAAATAGTGCTGTTAAATGCTTCTGGAGACCCCGCCCTGATGAGCTGGCAAAATTGCAGCTTTTCAGCTTATCTTTTTTTTTTTTCCAATGCTGGGAATTTGAACTCAGGGTTTTGTGCTTGTGAGACAGGTGTTCTACTGCTTGAGCCATGACCCTAGCCCTTTTTACTCTAGTTATTTTGGAGATAAGGTCAGTCTGGACCATGACCCTCCTATTTTAAACCTCCCACCATCTCTAGGATGACAGGTGCATGTTACCACACCCCACTATTGATTGAGATGTGATCTTGAGAACTTTCTGCCTGGGCTGGCCTTGAACTGTGATCTTCCCAATCTCAGCCTCTCAAGTAGCTAGGATTACAGGTGAATGAGCTTCAAGATAGGGCTCTCATCCTATCTTGAAGAGGTCATCCTTTCCCCCAGAGTCAAACAGACTTCAGATTCCCTTTAAGCCCTGGGCTTTCAGATGAGTTCCAGGTGCAAGACCATTTTTACAGTCTTATGACAGTCTATTCTATAAAGCTCTGCAAAGCCCTTTTGTTTTAGAAGAGCTACTAACAAACATCAGAACTTGTGGCCAACCCTGCAGTTGAGTGTGATAAACATGAGGACTCTCAGTATCTTTGATCAGAAGCTGAGTATGAAGCTCTAGGATTCCCCATGGCCAGGACTACTACTGAGCTGTTTCTTCTTCGAACAGGTGGCAGTGAATGGGAGATTGGTCCCAGTCCCTTATGTGGGTGCTAACCTGGAAGTCAGCATCTACGGTGCCATCATGTACGAAGTCAGATTCAACCATCTTGGCCACATCCTCACATTCACTCCACAGAACAATGAGTTCCAACTGCAGCTTAGCCCCAAGACTTTTGCTTCAAAGATGTATGGTCTCTGTGGTAAGAATATGTTCTCTGTATTCCTTCCCTTCCTCCTTATGTTGTAAAAGCCTTACTCATTGTGCTCCCAAAACTGTTGGATGCTTGTGTATCTGGGACCAGGTGTAAGCACCCAGTAGCAAGGTTCAGACCCTGGTGGGGATGGAGAATGGCCAGATTTCTGGCATCAAAGTGTTGACACCTAGGGTTGCCAACTTTGTCTTTCCTTGTATCTCTAGGGATTTGTGATGAGAACGGGGCCAATGACTTCATGCTAAAGGATGGCACAGTCACCACAGACTGGAAAACGCTCATCCAGGAATGGACCGTGCAGCAGCCAGGGTCCACATGCCAGCCCATTCTTGAGGAGCAGTGTCCTGTCTCTGACAGCTCCCACTGCCAGATCCTCCTCTCAGCACAGTTTGCTGAGTGCCACAAGGTCCTTGCCCCGGCTATGTTTTATGCCATCTGCCAGCAGGACAGCTGCCACCAGGAGCAAGTATGTGAGGTGATTGCCTCTTATGCCCACCTCTGTCGGACCAATGGGGTCTGTGTTGATTGGAGGACAGCTGATTTCTGTGGTGAGTCCCCAAATGTGCCCCTAAAAGTCCTGGAGGTCAACCTCCAGAACCCCAACTTGCTCAACCCTTCTGGGCCCCAGATTCTTTATCTGCCTAATGAAGAGCAAAATCCCTGTATTTCCTTTTACCTAGGAATCCAGTTAGGCTCAAACAAAATGGTAGACATCTAAGTACTTTGATGTGGAATTTTTATGTAAATCAAAGCATGACCATCTTCTATTAAATATCTGTAATTTAAACAATTATGAATTCAATCTATTAAGCACACACAAGCATTATGAAAGTTGTATATAACCAGTCATATTGAATTTGAAATTCTACAAGCTGTAGGAAAAACTTAGACTAGGCTATGGCTGAATAGGATTTTGGAATGAAATTTTGCCGTTTGATTACTGAGAAGCTGCTCAATTCACTAGCCTCTTTTTTTTTCTTTTTGGTGGTACTGGGGTTTGAACTCAGGGCCTCATACCTCCTAGGCAGCTGCTCTACCACTTGAGCCACTCCACCAGCCCTGAAGCTGCTTAGTTCACAAATACCATAGGAGTGGCCAACTTTCCTACTTGGGTAGGGATTTATTCATCATTTAAAATGTGGGGGATACCAAAATGAATCAGATATGGATCCTTTCCCCCAGGAGTGCTGGAATGAAAAGAACACCGACTTCAAACATCCTCAGTCTGTATCAATTATAATTATCTTGAGGGAAAACAGTATGTACAAGAATGTTGGTGTCTCAGAGTTCATTATCACAGAGCTGTCAACAGCCGTAATCTGGGGCTGGAGGACTTGGACATCCTAGTCAGCTCAAGTGATTATAGGCTGCTTTCTTGTATTTTTGGCCTACAGTTTCTGCATTATAGAATGAAAGAACTGGGCTAAATAACCCCTTGCTTTCTTTGAGGTCTTTTTTTTTTTTTCAGTCCATGTGGATGATACTGTGTCCTCAGTCTGCCTGTAGACCGAGGGGCAAATATTAGCTTCTAAGTTACTGAAAGCAGGGCTGGAGGAATGGCTGAAGTGGTAGAATATCTGCCTAGCAAGCACAAAACCTTGAGTTCAAATCCTAGTACCACCTCCCCCCCCAAGAGAAAAGGTGATCAAAAGCACCTTTTCTGCTTATTAATTGCTTTCTGTACATCCTGGAAATTTTTTGTGCATATAGAGAAAAATCCTTGGGCTCTAAATCCCTGGAAACCTTCTCCACACCTGTCTGGGCATCAAGAGAATGTGAGAGAGTTGTTAAGCTGGGTCATAACAGGAGAAGTGGGTCACTTGTACCATCTGTCTCAAGGCCACTCACTTCATCACTGTGGTTTCCTTATTTAATTGTAAGAGGGTTTTAAAGCATCAAATGCATTTGTACTCAAACAGAGGACCACAAAGTTTTTACCTAATTAGTTAGGATTTTTTTTTTGGTTGTAAGAAGCAGAGAAATAAAGTTCTCTGCCATAAAGAGGACCAGAAAGGGGTGAGATCAGCTGATTGTGGGCCTTAGTTGGGTATGATCTTCTCCCTCATGGTTTAGGATAGAGCACTATCATCCCATGTTCCAACTAGCAGTATGGGGTAGAAGGGAAAAGAGACAAAAGGTATAAACTGCTGTCTTTTAAAAAAGGCTCCTGGAGGCTGTCATAGCTTAGAGTTCATTGTCCAGAACTTAGTCACATGACCACTTAGTTGTGAAGGATGTTGGGAAATGTAGTCTTTATTTTAGGTGGTTTTGTGCTCAGCTAAAAGTTCTATTTCTATGGATGATGGAGAGAATGAACATTGTTGAAAACTGGCTTTCTCTGCTTTAGCAAAATTTTCAGAGATAAACCACTGCATACCACTATTCGGTTTCCCTCTGGCTGGTGCAGGCTGTTGACAGTGACCTCTTTCTCTGTCTACAGCTATGTCGTGTCCACCATCCCTGGTTTACAACCACTGTGAGCACAGCTGCCCCCGGCACTGTGATGGCAACACAAGTTCCTGTGGGGACCATCCCTCAGAAGGCTGCTTCTGTCCCCCACACCAGGTCATGCTGGAAGGCAGCTGTGTCCCCCAGGAAGCCTGCACTCAGTGCGTTGGGGAGGATAAGGTCCGGCACCAGGTAGGAGCCCTGGCCCCTTATCTCCCATGGGATGACTTCTCTCTGGATTGACTCCAATCCTACTTCTGTAGCAGGATCAGCTCAGAAGGAGTTCATTGAGGGATGGGAAGGCAGCATGCATAATGGCTTTGGATTCAGATAGATCTTGGTTCAAATCCCATGTCTCCCATGGGCTAACTGTGGGAAGTGCTGTCACCCCATTATTAATTTTATTTTTGTGCATACGTCATGAACAAAGAAACCCAAGAGGGAAGGGTTAGTCCAGCTTTTGGGGGGCAGTACTGGGGTTTGAACTCAGGGATTTACACTTGTTAGGCAGGTGCTCTGTCCCTTAAGCCACATCTTCAATCCGGGAAAGGGAAATGGGATATAGCGATATCTGCCACAAGTCAGATGCACTGCGTACTTTGATTGGGCTTACCACTATATCTTCATTATCTCAGTGTTCTTCAAAGGTGTGTTTTGCAAAGCATTAAATAGTTACTTGTGGTGAAGTAAGTTTAAAGGACACTAAATGGTTTAACAGGTTTTTTTATGGCAGGATTATTTAGTGTTTTTTAATGCGCTTGTGTACATTGTAAATGTGTAAGAGGGTTTTTTGCTTCTTCAATTTATTTGACCATGGAGCTTGGGTGTGTGTGTATGTGTATGTGTGCGTGTATGTTTGTATGTGCATGCGTGTGGGCATTGTGTGTGTACATGTGTATGTGTGTGTATCTGCATAACATTCTCTTGGGTTAGAATTCTATCAGAATATACTAGGATATCCTGCATTGCTCAGAAATACTCACAAAAACCTTTAGGGGAATTAAGACTAAAAGGGCTTAGTAATATAGAAGTAGTCAAAGATAAAGATATATATATATATATATATATATATATATATATATATATATACACACACACACACATGTAAGAAAACACCAAAGCTGAAAGCTGAACCCCTTGGTACAATTAATATACACATATAAAGTTAAAAAAAGAGCTTAGTAACTTGCCCCTGGACAGTTTGTAAGTGATGGAGGTGGGAGTTGGACTCAGAATTTGTCTGACCTCTAAGATCTTGTTGCCTGATTACACAAAATTGTTCTCTTGCTACATCATTTCTGGGATGATTTGCTTGGAAGCCACTGAGTCATCAATTCTTTTAGCTTTTTAGAAGCTAATGAGCTTTGAAAGAACATTTACCAGACTCCCCCATCTTGGTCTGAAATGGCAGTCATATCTCTTCTAAGTTGATGCTGTGTGTATTTGCATTGTGAGTCTGTGCTATATGGGCATGTGCAATGGCCCTGTCCTCTCTCCTTGACTGAGATACAGCCAAACATGGTAGAGGTAGGGGCCTATTTGGCTTCTAAGAGAGGCGAATATGCTCTGTGATCATGGGATGTTCTCAAGCCCTAATAGATCCATCACAACCCAGGAGGACCTCTATCACTTAGTGGCCCAGATGGGGTGACTTACCTCTGTATTTAATTTAATCACAAGCAGGAGAACTTGTGGCAAAGCTAGCCAACCATCCAGGAGAATAATGAAAACAGTAATTCCCACAACTACATTATTCTTCCTGACATTGTAATCCAGGAAGTGCGTCATTGTATTTGACTCTCCCCAAAGCTCTGTAGGGTCGTTATCACATTCGCTATTGAATGGATGAGGAGACTGAGGCTCAGGTGGCACAAGTTAATGAAGCCGAGATCCCTCTTGGCAGCACTTGGTCCCCATAGTGTCCTAGCCTTGCCATTGAACCAGTAGAAGCCTGAGCCAACCTCTGAGCACTAGGCACACATGTAAGCTGGACACCTGTTAATGCTGTTACTGGATTAGTCTCATCTGTTCTAGTTCAGTTGTTGGATTTCAGCATAGATGAGCTACGAGGGAAGCCCACACATATTCTCTGCCATATTTCCAATTGCCAAATTAAGTAGTTGCTTGTACCATGATATCCCCCAAATGAATGGGTAAAACCTAACATTCCTCTCCCTGGTTTGCATAGCTCCTGGGCACCTGCACAGCTTCAGGGCTCAAAGGATACCTAGCATGTCATATTTGCATATGGTGATAGCCCCCCATGGTAATTCCAGACTAGTTTTGCTGGTAGCGTTGAAGGGCTTCCTCTCAGACCGAGGCAGAAGTGGACTCTACCTCTTCCTGCCGTTCTGTGATGAGAAGTGAAACAAGTGTTTCAGATGTCTGCAGGGTCCTAAAGGTAGGAAGCTTGTGAGTTGTTTCTTAATGTCTTAGTGTCTTCAGCCTTCTTTCTCTGCACTACTCTCTGGCTTTATTTCTTTTTTATACTGCTCTCTTCGCTTTTAATACAACACATTAAAATAGACATTTGAGTTGCATAGAGAATTTATCCAAACAGTGTATTATCTTGGCCATAAAAACAGTCTTATATATATATTTAAAAAAATCAAGTGCCATAAAAGTAATCAAAACCTTTAAAGAGAGCACAACCAGTCTTAGTTATTCAGAAAATGTAGTTTTAAGTGGGTGAAAACAAATAACTCATTCAGCCACCTGCATTTTCAACTTGTACTTTCAGAGCAGAGAAAGAATGAAAATCTAACATGAAGAACATTTCTATTAAATGAATTTTTTAACTGAAAAATAAAGCCCCAAAAGCCTTCCTTCAGGGAAATAAACTAGGGCATAAATCTCTAGTACCCCGGGAAAAGGAAAAATATTTACAGTTTCCATAGCTCTTGCTTATTTTACAAAACGTATGCTAAAGATGCAGGCTCTGTAATGGGCTGAGAAGGGGTCTGGAACGTCACAGAGGCTGTCACTCTCCAGGGAACTGTGCAGGCAGCCTTGCTTTAGCTCAGCAAGATTGCATCTTTCTCCCAGAAGCCTGTGGCCTCCAACCTTCTTTCTTCTCCTTTAGTGTCTGCTGCTCAGTAGCCACTGCTTGCATTCCATTTGCATCTTCCATGGAATTCTTTTTTCGACTTTGGGCTTTGAAGACTTTGGCTTTCTCTTCACCACATTCTCTGCAGTTGTTCTTTTTGGCCATTTATTTAATCTTGAACTGTAGCTAACTTTTATACCTGTTTTCCTGTCCTTATGCCAGGAACCTGGTGGAAGAAACTCCAACCTTCCTTTCGCCTGGGCCTGTGCAGGAGCGCCCTCTGCTGGCCGTTTGCTGCATAGCCTGGTCAGGCCTGTGGACCTGGCCCAGATGCTTTCAGAAGCTAATGCTTAGTGTTTTCAGGGGCTCTGCCTTGGACAGGCTTCACTAAAGATTCCTGGAGAAGGATGTTGAAACACCTGCTCTGGGCATCTATCTGTCACACTCTCAGCATAGCCGGAAAGTTACTTATTCTTCAATTTAGAAAGCTGAGGTCCACATTTAAAAGGAGAACGTAAAAAGACAACAAAATATACAAAGCGGAACCTCTTCTTTCCCACCCCATCTTTTCACTACTTTGACCTCCTGCTGCAGCCCTTTGAGGCCACTGCCCTGCACTCCTTCCCTGAATTCTCTCAGTCCTTGGAGGAGCACTAGATAAGCAGCCACTATGGTCTTTCTTTCTTTTTTTTTTTTGTTTTTTTTGTTGTTGTTCCTAGTCCTTTGCTTCTCCATCTTGGTTACTGTCACTGTCACCAGCTTTACCTTTTTCTTGGTACTGGGGTTTGAACTCAGGGCCTTGCACTTGCTAGACAGGAGCTCTACCACTTGAGCTGTGCCCTCAGCCCTTTTTGCTTTTAGTTATTTTTCAGGTTGGGTCTTATATTTCCTTGCCACGACCAACTTGGACCATGATCCTCCTACTTCAGCTTCTCTGGTAGCTGGGAATGACAGGCACACACTACCATGTCTAGCTTTTTATTGGTTGAGATGGAGTCTCCATAACTTTTTGCCCAGGCTGGCCTTGAATTGCGATCCTCTCTCTCTTAAAGCAGGGATTACAGGTGTGCACCAATTCTCCCAGCTGAACTTTGCCCTTTTTTAAGGCAAAGCTTCTTTCTAAGGTAGGGTCCTGTTAGAGACTTTTAAGGCTGCACCTTTCCTAAGAGTTTGGTGCACAGTCCTCAGAGCTGCTACCATGGACCTCAGCTTATCTGCCTCACCCACGTGGCCAGTCCCCTAACGCCATCCCCATGTACCTGCTAGAACATTCCTCTGTGCCTGGCTTTGCTCAGTCCTCACCTGGAACTCCTTACCCTCTCTTTTTGTCCACATCCTTCCCGGGCTTCATAGTGGCACCTTCATGTCACCTCTCTGAGTACCAGCCTCGTGAAATCTTTTGTACTCCTGTGACTCTTTAATTTTTCATTAAAATAGATTTATTGGTGCATAATGTACATACAACAAATAACACATATTTATTTGTCATTTTTATTAGTGTGTATTAATTGTACAAAGGGGTTTCATTGTGCATATAATGTACTTTGATCAAATTCACTCCATCAGTTACACTTTCTTATTCCCCTTTTAAGACAATTTTAATGGGTTCCATTATTCCATTTTCATATATGCATATAAAGGACTTTGATTATATTCATGGCCTCTTCACTCTCCCTTTTTCCTTCCCCACTCCTTCTAGTTCCCACTCCCAAACAGCCCTTATTTTACACTTGTGTCTCTTATTTTTTTTTTAGGTCTAGGTTCTGCATATGAGAGAACATGCAACATTTATCTTTTTTTCATCTGGCTTATTTCACTTAACATGATCTCCGGTCTGTCCATTTTCCTGCAAGTGACATAATTTCATTCTTTATTGCTCAATTATACTCCATTGTGTACATACAGCACTTTGTCTTTATCCATTCACCTGTGGATGGGCACCTACCCTGATGCCATGACTTTTCTGTTGTGAATCGTGCTGCAGTAAACATGGGTGTGCATGTGTCTCCATTGTATGCTGACTTGCTCTTCTTCAGATATACACCCATAGTAGTACAGCAGATCATACGGTTCTGTTTTTGTTTTTTTGGGAACCTCCATACTAATTTCCATAGTGGCTGCACTCATTTACATTCCTTTTCTTGTATCCTTGCTAGTGTTTATTGTTATTTTCTTGATGATAGTCACCTGACTGGGGTGAGATGGAATCTCAGTGCCATTTTGATTGCATTTGCTTATGGCTAAGGAGTTTAAACAGTTCTTCATGCATTTGTTAGCCTTTTGTGTTTCTTCTTTTGAGAACTGTCTATTCAGTTCACTTGCCAATTTGTTAATTGGATTGTGTGTTTAATTTTTGGTGCTCTGTGTATATTCTGGATATTAATCAGTTATCCACTGACTAGCTGGCAAAGATTCTTTATGCTGTCTCTTGTTTCTTTTGCTGTGCAGAAGCTTATAAGTTTGATGCAATCCCATTGTCAGTTCTTGCTCTTATTTCTTGAGCAATTGAAGTCCTGTTCAAAGAAGTGTTACCTATGCCTGTATCTTGAAGGGTTTGCCCTACGTTTTCCTGTAGTAGTTTCAAAGTCTCATGAATTGCATTAAGTTCTTTGATCCATTTTGGGTTAATTTTTGTACAGGGTGGGAGAGAGGGATGTCTTCCACATGTGGATATCCAGTTTTCCCAACATCATTTGTTTTTTGTGCCTTTGCACAAAAAATTCAGCTGTCTGGGTTGACTTCTGGGTCTTCAAGTCTCTTCCATTGGTTTGCATGGCTTTTTCTGTGCCCATGCCATGCAGTTTTTATTACTGTGCCTCTTGTGTCTGTTTTTAAACAGCATGTGTCTAGAATGTATGATCTGATGAATTTTGACATGTATACACTAATACAACTATCATCATAATTAAGATAATGAACTTTCATCTCCCCAAAATTCCCTCAGGCTCCCTTTCAAATATATCCCTTAACCCCAGACCACTACTAGCCTGCTTTCTGTCACTATAGAGTCATTTCTGTTTTCTGGAATTTTATATAAATAGAATCAGGCAGTGTGTAATTCTGTTTTCCTTCCTCGGTATGTATTCCTGGCTTCCTTCATACAGTAAATGATTTTGAGATTCAGCTATGTTCTGTGTTTGGATAGTTGTTCCTTTTCATTGCTAACTAGTACTCCATGGTATGTATATATCACAGTTTATTTCTCTCATTCAGCTATTTTGAATAGTCAAGGTGAGGCTATTTTCTCACCTTGACTGCCAGCCATCGGAGGGCTGGGGCAATGAGTTCAGAACTGTCCATGGGAGGCATTGTGGCTGTGGATGAGAGGCAGTTTAAGGCCATGGTGTCTGGGGCCAGTTTGCTGTGTTCAAATCCCAGATGTGTTACCTGGTCAAGTTAACTTCTCTGACCAGGCACCTGTGACTCATGCTTGTAATCCTAGCTCCCTGGGAGGCTGAGATCAAGAGAATCATGGTTTGAGGCCAGCCTGGGCAAATTGTTTTCCAGATGCCATCTGCAAAATAACCAGAGCAAAACGGACTGGAGGTGTGACTCAAGCGATAGAGGCCTGCTTTGCAAGTGTAAAGCCCAGTCCCACCAACAAAAAGTTACTTCTCTGTGTCTAAGTTTCATTATTGTAAATAAAGACAACAATAGTACTTACCTGATAAAGTTATAAGAAAAATGAAGCAACTCATGTAACACCCTTAGAGAAATATTTTGAGCACACTTAAAGGTAATTACTAGCAGAGCATAGTGGCTGAAAACATGAATTATGGGCAAATACTAGCTTTGTTGCTGTGCCCACGTAACCCCGCCAGTGCCTCCACGTTCTTTCTCTCTTGAAATGTGAGAAAAATATAAAAAATGCCCTCACCATAGGATTGCAGTGAGTACATGAATAACTTGTCAAAGCAGTGGTTCAAGGCAGATGCTATGGAAATGTCAGCTGTTGTTAGCTATTGCGTGACTGACAGGTGTCAAAGGCAGACACAGAGGGCTTTGCTCTGAAGATGCAGCACCTGGACAAGGGCCTTTCACATGGGGATCTCTGACCTCCCTTCTCAGGTGACTATGGAAGAAGAAGGAGTGAGTGAGACCCTCTTGATCTGGGGCCTTTTTGAGTACTGGATAAGAACATGTGTATTCAAGGGCAATTAAACCTGAATTTGATTTTAGCTTTAAATTTAATCTGACAGGAGACAAATCCTAGCTCTGCATCCCTATTTGTGGAACTTGTAGTTCTGTACCAGGCCTGGTATTAATCACAGTGTCCCACTCCTTCAGCCACCCTGGGAGGCAAGCCAAGCACCTTCAGGTTACAGGTGGGGAAACTGAGGCATGGAAGAACAAAGCCCATGCTGGAACTGGGTGTTCCTGTGCAACAGGGTGTGTGCAACCATGGGAATGCTCCTTTGTCCCCGGGGAAGACCCTTATCTGAAGAGCCAGAGAACCACACTCAGGCCTCTGAAATCACCTGTGGCCCTGACGATGTGATGGTTTGAAGTCTTGCAGTCCTCCAACCAGCTTTTCTCACCCCACTGTCTTGAGTTGATTACAGACATAATTGGGAATTTGTTTTTGCAGTGGTACAGGGGTTTTGAACTCAGGGACTCACTTGCTAGACAGGTGCTCTAGCACTTGTACCATGGCCCAGCCCTTTTTGCTTTAATTGTTGTTTTTAAAGATATTTTATGTCTGGCCGAGTTGGATCTGGCCATGATGCTCCTATTTGTGCTTCCCCCTATAGCTGAGATGACAGATATGTACCACCAATGCCTGGCTTATAGGTTGTCATGGGGTCTTGAGAACTTCTTGCCTGGGCTGGCTTCAAACTGTGATCCTCTGAATTTTGTCTCCCAAGTAGCTGGGATTACAGACATGAGCCACCACACCTGGCCTTTTTAGCATTAACACCTAACTTTTCCTTTGTCTTGGGAAGTGCCTAGCAGGGTGACACAAGCACTCTCAGTTTCTTGCTTTGCTTGATTTCCATGCCACCATCACAGAAGGCTGTAGGGAAAATTCTCGAGCTTTCTAAAATCTGTTGTCATTTCCCTTGGAGTTTACAGAGCAGCTTGGTGACAGCCTTTCTGAGAACCCTGACATTTCTGCAGCTTCTTCTCTAGCCCCTCAGCCCTCTTGCAGCTGGCTTGTGCTCATCTGTGAGGCTCTGGCAGAGGGAAGGGTCAGGAACCAGCCTCACAAGAGGAGACTTGGTCAGAGGTGGGGAAACGGACACCCATGAACCCCAGGGATCTGTACACTGAGCATTCTGTGCCCTCTGAACCTCATTTTCCCCTCAGTTCCTGGAGACCTGGGTCCCAGACCACCAGCCCTGTCACATCTGCACTTGCCTCAGCGGGCGGAGGATCAACTGCACATCGCAGCCCTGTCCCACGGCCAGAGGTGAGTGAGCCTCCTGGCCTGGTGCCCCAGGAGAAAGAAGGGCTCCTGTGAGCTTCCAGCCACCCCGTCTTAGACATGGCAGACAATCACAATGTGGGGTGCAGAAACTGGTTTTCTTTACCAGAGTGCATTTCCCCTTGCTGACTCGGAGGTCCCATTCTCTGCCTGGAGTAGATACCCTCAGGTCTAACCCTTCCCTGTGGTCCTCACTTTGGCATCGGACTCAGAGTTCCCCAGATGGTAAACTTGAGGGTGTTAACCAGACACATTGGAGAGACTTGTTTTATTGTGGTCTCACAACCTGAATCCTGTGGGATTCCCACATAGGGCCTGTGCTGGGAAACCCTTCTCTAGGCTGAACATTATTTATTTATCTGATTTTTGTGGCCGTTCTTCTCCAGCCCCAACATGTGGCCCATGTGAAGTGGCTCGTCTGCGCCAGAATACAAACCAATGCTGCCCCGGATATGAGTGTGGTACGTGTCTCTATCTTTCATCTTTCTCCAGGGTCCAAACCCCAGCCCAGCCCCAGGTGAACAGTGCCATCGTGCCAAGTGATGGATATGTGCTGAAGCACAGGTGTGCCAGAGGAGGTGGGTAAGGGCCAGCTGGATTTAAAAGAAAGCCCTCCACAAAAATAGGGTATTCTTCCTAGAAAAATTCTATAGTAGGGTTTTAAATGCAAAGTTTAAGGGTACTAATGAAAGCATGGAGTGATTACTGGAACTACAGACGTTTACTGAAGAAGTTTTTCCTGGGCTGGCCTCAAACTTGTGATCCTCCCGATCTCAGCCTCTTGAGTAGCTAGGAATACAGGCTTGAGCCAGGGTCTTCAGTAAGATTTTGAGGCACACTAGATATAGAAAAGATGACAGCCAGGGCACCTTGATTTCAGCAAGTTGTTGGAGGTTACATGATATGCTTGCAAAATATAAAGTGCACGGTGGGAGGACGATGTGATTTGGTGAGCTTGGAGCAGGTGCAGTGATGGCTCTGTGACAGGATTTCCCTGCTGCTCTAGGTAGTACAGAGGCAGTCATGGAGCACAGGCTTTCAAAACTTGTGGTGGTGCAGATCTTCAGGGGAGAGCAAACAGATCAAGGGAAAGTCCACTATCTAGGAAGGATTCAGTCATCTGGGAATTCATGCTGACAAAATTGATCAGAAGTAAATAGACATCTTAGAGAGGAGGGATATCTGATTTGAAAACAATTTTGTCAAGCGGGTCTTAGAATGTTAGCAGTAGAGAGAACATTTTATAGACTATGTGCTAGGCACTTCCCTTTCATTCTTTTATGACGTCTTTGGACTAACCTGATAAGGTAGATTTCCCACCTTACAGAGGGGAAAATTGAGGTCTACAGGATTCAGACTTAGCTGAGGAAGCCCTAGCAGAGGAAAGAGTAATCAGTGTGAACACAACATATGACTTGAATCAATCTATCATCTATTTATCATCTATCTATTGTCTATCTATCATCTATCTATCTATCTATCTATCTATCTATCTATCTATCTATCTATCTATTCATCTATTTATCTTCTCTCTCTCTCTTTCTCTAATATATCACCTCTATCTATATCTTGCTCTGTCTGTATTGATCACCACTATCTACCTAAGGCAATAGAAATCTGCATGAATAAGTATGTAGGGTCCCACTCAGAGCAACCTCGTTGAGCTCTCCATGGAACCCCCCTCTTTCCTGGCCCTCAGTGTGTGACCTGGTGAGCTGTGACCTGCCCCCCGTGCCTTCCTGTGAAGGAGGGCTCCAGCCAATATTGACCAACCCCGGCGAGTGCAGACCTACTTTCACCTGTGGTAAGGCCTCTATGGGTGAGGAGGGGAACTTGTGGCCCACCCTCTTCTGGCCTCAGGAAGCTGTGTTCTTTCTTGGGGATCTGCTGTTAGATCATCTTCCTCATTTTCTATTTTCAGTTAGCTGAACCTGGGTTTGGGGTGCAATTGGAACAAAGTGGTTAAAATCGTACCTGCACTGAGTCCTCTAAAGGTCCTTCCAGTGGCAGGTGTAGCAGGTGTGGGCACAGCCTCAGGCACTGCCTTCTTGGGTTACAGGAAGAAGTTGGGCTTGTGGGAGTATGGCTCCAGGCCAATCTTTATTTCCATTCTTCCCTGTGCCAGTGAGGGCAGAGAATGTCCTCTTGGCTTATCTTCATTATTGAATCTTTTCCCTATGCTTAATAGGTTACAAACACTATAATTGTTAGCATAGGATTGGGCTAAAGTAAGACACAGCAAGAAATGGAATTCTGTATTTGGCTACTGAGGGATCTGTTTTAAATCAGCCGTATTCTTGTCCTATTGATTTGCAGTCTTACTTGCATTCTCCATGCAAGTGCGGAAGGGAACACATTGCATTTGAAGGAGCTGGAAATAGGCACAGGACTCAGCACACAGAGATGGCTTTTGACATTTATAAAATAACCTTGTGGATTTGGCAGGTTGCTGGCTGTCTTTCATTCCACATTGCTAGAGGACCTAAAACTGTGGAGTATTGTTCTAAGTACCCAGGTGGGGATAGGATCACATAAGCTGCCACCGTGTGACAGTGCTTACCAGCCCATGGTGTACCCAGGGATCTGCAGGTGACATCTTTGAGAATTAGTAGCTGGAAGAATCCTGCTTCCTCCACATATACAAGGGAGGGTGACGGTGCAGGGACCTGGCTGCCTTCCCTCTCTTCCAGGAGTATTCCTTGCTTCACAGTTCTCCTTATTTCTGTTCTTACTTCTCTCCAGACAAACTGCTTTTTTGGTATAGCTGGCTATTCTGCAGCCCCTGAGCTGGGTTCATATGCATGTGTGACTTAATATGCTGGGTCTGGGTTCCCAGACCCAGGTGCCCTGACTCAGTGCAGTGCCCAGGGCTGCAGGACTGAGGGCATCACCTGTGCTGCCCCCAGGCTGCAGGAAGGAGGAGTGCACAAGAGTGTCCCCGCCCTCCTGTCCCCCTCATCGGACACCAACCCTGCGGAAGACCCAGTGCTGTGATGAGTATGAGTGTGCTTGCAGCTGTGTCAACTCCACAGTGAGCTGCCCCCTTGGGTACCTGGCCTCAACCACCACCAACGACTGTGGCTGCACCACAACCACCTGCCTCCCTGACAAGGTAGGCATCACTCAGCTTGGACTGGGATGAGGGCCAAACAGCTGCTCCTTATTGAAGATTTGCACCTATCCAGCCCTCCCCTCTTGTCTGAACAAGGGCAACAAAGCAGGGTGGGTTGGAAGTCAAATTTCTATTCAGGAGAAATGGAAGTTTCATTAACTCAGGAGGTATACTGAGGTATCAGTCGTGGCTAGTACTGAGGTTACAGTCATTATCTGGCTTCTATTTTTAAAGAGATTATTTGTAGGTTAGCTAAGGAGATAATTATTTAGAAGCCAGTCAATGATGTACTCATTTGTTAATTGCTATCAATTCATCCATCCACCCATCCATTTATCCATCCAACCACTCATTCTTCCATCTATCCATCCATCCATCCAATATTTACTGAGCAACTTCTATGTTCTAACAGAACTGGTACTGTGCTAAGTACTGTGGGAGAAATGTAAAATGCAGTCTGTATTTATGATCTTGTTACCATAGAGGACAATTGTCTGTCCAAACACAATAAAGAGCAAGGAGCAATCTTATGGGACAGAGACCCACCAAGATGAGCTGTCATGAGAGACTGGATTGGTAGGGTAAATAATCTGTTGAAAATCAATTTTCTTTGATTCATTGGAGAACATGGTCATTTGTCCTAGAGAATGTTATACACTCTCGATTGGCAGACAGCTTCCTCGCGGTATTACTTAAGGTGGGGCTCTCCCATCTGCCATATTTCAAGTAAACCAGAAGTTAGATCCAGGAATTACTTACAATACACTCAAGCTCAATTTTGGGGCAAGAACACATACTAGATGATGCTGTTGCTTCCTGTGGTATCATATCGTGAGGTACATAATGTCCACTTGTCCCACTTTTAATGACAAGGCTGGGTTTAGATAATGTCAACCCAATTTTTGCATCTTGACATTTATCCTGTCAACACTTTAACTAATACTTTAATATCATTGCTTAGGAATCATATGTAATTAGGAATTGTGAACTTGTGACTTTTCTCCACTTCTGTCATTCTTACACATTTATTATCTACAACTCTTTCCTAAGAAAGAATTTTCCCCAACTGCTTTTGTTTACTCTGACATAGAATTACTTTAGGTAAGACAGGATGACTGCTTCATTCTTCCCTAGGCCAATTTTCAGGTAACAAGTGATTATCCTAATCAAGGAAGACCAAAGACTTCGCTCGTTAGTTTTAAGCATTACTCTGAACTCATAGATGATGCTTGTGTGTTTGATGTGCCTTGGTTCCTTGTAATCTGTATTATTCTTTTTGATTGTCAACTTGACCTATCTGGAGTAAATAGGAGCCAACTGGAATCGGTTCTGGAGCTCTTCCACATGGCCTCTTTGGCCTTTCCTACCCTTTTCCTTTCTGAGATAACAGTGCGTACTAGGGTCATCTTTGATGTTTCCTGCCCCAGTCCTTGATGGTACTAGGGTTTGGTCTCAGGGCTTCACTTTTGCTAGGCAGGAGCTCTGATCCAGTCTGTGGATTGTCCATCTCACCAATAAGTCCTCGCACCTTTCAGTGAAAATGGTACTTAGACAACACAATTTGGTTTCCAGGAATGTTCATTGCTTCTGGATTGTCATTGCCTTTAGACAGTTTTGGTGGATAGAGCTTAGAAACACATATTTAAGAAGAGGATAAAAACCTGTAAGTTCATAGTGAATAGTGATATTTCTGATTCAAATTTAATTGTAAGGTTTTGTGTATTTCTTTGATTTTATACTTGTGTCATTTATCTTCTAAGTTGAAAACTGTGGTTTCCTAACATGGCTAATCTATATATTTGATTATCTTACTACACACCTATAATGGTCTCTAAAATAACAGTGCTGATATTACTACTGCTAATTTATAACAACTGAACAATTTAATATTTCTCTTTATCCTAAAGTATCATTCATTAAAGGTGTATCATTGAAATAATCCTAGGTGTTAAAGTCATTCAAGTAATTCTTTGTCTTGTGTGATTATGGCACTGAATTGATATCCAGTTAATCAGCGATTTCAACTGTTTTTCATTTTTAGAGGCTGTTTTCCATATCCTTTTGCTTTAATATTTTATGATATAAACACTTAAGTGATTTCAAAGTCCAAATTATAAAACAGAACATATTCCCAAGCAGTCTCACTTCTGTTTCCTTTGCATTGTTCCTTCTTCCCCCTATAATTTACAATTTTCATTAGGTTTTTCTTTTTGAAAATATAATTTACGTATTTATATTTCTTCCTATTTATCACAGAAATAGTAGCATATTATAAATTCTGTTTGAAATTTTTCTTTTTTATTTAACAATATATAATAATATTTTATGTCACTATATAAAATTCAGTCTCATTCCTTTTTACAGTTGCATAGCATTCCATCATATAGACGCACTTGAGTTTATTCAACAAGTCCTTCATTGATGGATATTTGAGTTGCATCAGTCTTTTACTATTTGATGAATGCAGAACAAATAGCCTTTTTATGTGTCATTTTGCATTTTTCCCAATGTATCTTTGTGGAAATTCTTAGAAGTGAGATGGTAAATACACATGTGATTTTGGTAGATAGTGCTAGATTCTTCTCCATAGGGCTGGTAACAGTTACTAGCAGGATTTTCAAACATAAGTCCAAGTTTATTATACAGATGCCAGAAGACTGAGAAGATACATAGTAACGACCTAAAAACCTTTGCATTTCTATTATGTGAGTGAGAGTGGTGACCTGCTCTGTGCAGCTTTGGAGGGCCTATTTGAGACTAATTTCAAAATTATCTTTAAGTCGTTGGATCAGACAGCTTCCTTATTGCCTCATTCCTACAAAATACTGTTAGAACATTGAATATGGCACACTTCCTAGGCCTTAGGTATTCCAAGTCCATCCAGCCTTTATAATCTCATTTCCCATACCTCTTCAGTAGCCTGTGGTTGTTCCAGAGAGGATCCCTTGTCTCAGACATGTTCCATATTCTGTGTCCCTCACTGTTAGCTTATTATGTTCCTTGTCATTTGAGGGCCTCAAGGAGACACACTTTCATAGCTCCTGCCCAGTGCTCCTTCACCTTCAGCCTGCATTTCAGGGAAGGGTCCCAAATTCAAGGACATTACTGGGTTTGGGAACTTATCTACAGGTTCTGTGTGACAAAACAGGGAAATAAATGCATTTAAAGAAGTGATGAAACTGAACCAAGGCAGCCAGTGTGTTACATCCATGAAGGATGCATAAGGAGCCACCCCTAGGATAGACTGGTGACCACTTTTCTAGGGCTGGGGGTCAGGGAAGGGAAGAGGACAAAATCTACTCCATAAGGATCCCTCCATGTGGGCAGATAACACGTGTTATGTACTGCTGTATTCTCACCTCCTAGAGCACCTTCCACATAGCGGATGCTTACAAACCACTTCTTTAAATTAACTGAATGAGTTCATTCATGGAAACTTTGTGCTACAGGTCTGTGTCCACCGAGGCACCATCTACCCTGTGGGCCAGTTCTGGGAGGAAGGCTGTGATGTGTGCACCTGCACTGACATGGAGGATGCTGTGATGGGCCTGCGTGTGGCTCAGTGCTCTCAGAAGCCCTGTGAAGATAGCTGCCAGCCGGTGAGTGGGACTGGGAGTGGGGCTGGGCAATGCACAGAGCCACTGGGAAGATAGGGAGAGGGGAGAGAGAGAGAGAGAGAGAGAGAGAGAGAGAGAGAGAGAGAGAGAGAGAGAGAGAGAGAACACCTTTCTTTCATGGGACTTCTTCGAAGTAGGTTCCACCTCCAAAGCTTGCACCATTTACCAATAGCTCATTAAAGTATGCATCCATCAGTGGTTTCATCCATTCATGACACCAGAGCCCTCAGTTCCAATCACCTCTTAAAGGACTTAACTCTGGTACATCGTGGACACGGAAAGGAGAGGAATCCTTGCACCTTTGTATACACCTTTGAGGAGCTTTTCTCTGAAGCTGACTCCTTACCCTTAGACCCCAGAATCAGATTAAATCATGGCTGTAGGAACTGTGCTTTGAAGTACCGATGTGATCATGCATGTACAGTCATGTATCACTTAGTGGCAAGGATACTCCAAGAAATGTGTTGCTGGGCAATTTTGTGTGAACATAGCACAGAACACTTACACAGACCTAGAAGGTACAGGTTGATCACTTGACATGGCTTCTGGATGCAATCTACAGAATATACTCTAAAATAATGATAAAATATAGTAGGTATGGAAACTGGTTGCATAGTCATTTATTATCATTTTCAAGCACTATGTAGTACATGTAATTGTGTGTGCAGTCAGTACATTTGTGTAGCAACATCGCCACAAACATGAGAGTACTGTGTTGTACTATTATGCTAGCTATAGTATTTTTTCAGCACCATTTTAATTTTTTCTTCTTTTGATTTTTTGAGACAGGTTCTCACTGTCTCACAGCCCAAGCTGGCCTGTAACTTGTGATCCTCCTGCCTCAGCTTCCTGAGTACTGGGATTCTAAGACATGTGCCACCACACTGACTTTGTTATAACTGTATAGAATCAGTGTCATACACGTGGGCCACTGTTGACTAACATGCTTATATTGTATTCATCCTCATGATATTCCTTGGAAGGAAGAGGTAGGACTGTTTTTCCCGCATACTGATAGGAAACAAAGGACCAACACAGGAAATGAAGTTGTTGGCTAGAGCCCTATAGCTTCTCTGAAGCCACTAGAAGCTGTTTTGTGGTGACTGGGAGCCCAGCACCTGTTAGTACCCAACAACCCATAGTGTTATGCTTTGAATGTGAAGTGTTCTTCATAGGCTTGTGTGTTAAATGCTTGGTCCCCAGATGGTGGCACCATTTTGGGAAATGATGGAAATGCTAGAAGGTAGGGCCTGGCTGGAGGAAGTAGGTCACTGTGGGGAGTACCTTTGAAAGTTATACTGGCCTGTGGTCCCTGTCTTGCTGTCTGCTTCCCAGCTGCCATGAGGTGAATGGCCTTCTCCTCCACACACTCCCACTGCCATAGTGTTCTGCTTAAGTACATGGGTCAAAGTGACCATGGTCAGAACTCTCTGAAACTATGAGCCCAAATCTTTCCTCCCTTAAGTTGTTTCTGTCAGGTATTTTGGTCACAGTTACACAATAGTAACTAATACATCTGGTGTTGGAAAGGACAGTGTGATCCAGGAAAAAGGGTTGGGGGTTTTTAATCTGTGTCCTTCAGATAGGGGATGAGGGGCCTGAGTAACTGGTCTCCTACCTCCATGTCAGCTATGGAAATTGCACTTCAAGGATTGTACTGTTAGATAAAATAGGAACTTATTTTTCAGTGATGCATATCTTCTGGTTGTGTAGATATCAGACCTACTTAGTTTCATTCTTAAATTGGGAAGCCAGTGAAATCAGGATGGAAAAGAGAATAAGGAAAAGGGTCTCAGATGGGTATTTGATATGACCTAGCAAAGATACACATAAGGTGGATGTTTGAAGGGGTGAGGAAAAAGAAAAAGAAATGAAAATAAAGGGTGAGCCTGGTTGAGCAGCAAGACAATGAAGTTGCTGAGGGTGTGGAGGGGAATCTTGGAACGAAGGAAATTTGGTGGCATGACTGGGGCATCTGAGCATGGGATTTGGTGGGGCCTTTAGTATCAAGGTGCCTGGTCTGGGAATCATGTGTAATTTGACAGTGTGTTTATCCATGGAGAGATGCAGAAGAAGACAAAATAATGCATACATTTAGATCATTCAGCAGAGGCTTATGAGAGTGACACTAGGTCCCTAAAGGTATTAGTTAGTCTCTTCAGGGTTCCCTAGTATCTTTATTTCTTTCATGGCATCTTGTATGTTTGGCTTACATACCAAGGGTGTATAGATGGCACTCTCCTAAGTCGTTGACTCCTCCATAGTACCTCATATCTCATGGATGCGCAATAAAGGACTAGAACTTCAGCTGATAAAAGGCTGGGGACAGTTCACTGCGCACTGCTGTGACGTGGGTAGGGATGTTAGTAGGTCCCATAGAGATGGTATGAACTTGAATGGAGTCTCTGGAGTGTTCGTGTCCCCCAGGGGTGGCAGTGTTGTGTGTGTCTTCTGCTCCTGAGTGTGTCTGGGGAGCCATGCAGGCTTTGCATTCACACCTTCCTGAACAGCCAGCTATTCTCTCTTTTAGTCACAGCGGAAAGGTAAAGCCTTGTCCTGGCTCTTTACTTTTGGCCCCTGGGACAATCACACTGCTGTTGTCCTGCTTGTTATTTGCACATGGCTTTTCAGAGGAGAGTTTCACTCCAGGCTCCTAATGGAGGACCTTCAAGAGGCAAGAGAGTCTGACAAGCTCCTAGAATGCTGGCTTTCCTGCCAGGCCTTCTCTGTTGCTTGCTCATCTCACTTTTACTTTGTAAAGAATACCATATTCCCTAAACTACTAGGCAAATTTCAAGGGGAGCCCACATCTACACAGTGGTGTGTTGTCAGTTTTCCATTACTGTGACAAAATACCTGAGAAAATCAACTTAGAAGGAGGAAAGGTTAGTTTTGGCTCATGGTTTCAGACCATGTTTGGTTGGACCTTTATTATTTTTTTTCAGACCTGTGGTGAGGCAGAATATCATGGTGTAGGGTGTGTCATGGAGCAAAGCTGCTGAACTCATGGTAGCCTTCAAGGAGAGAGAGGAGGGAGGGAGGAGGGGAAGGAGGGGGGAGAGAGAGAGAGAGAGAGAGAGAGAGAGAGAGAGAGAGAGAAATAGGGGTTTTGATATTCTCATCAAGCCCTGCCCCTGTGACCTAAGTTCCTCCCTCTAGGTCCCACCTCCTAAAGGTTATACCACTTCCCAGAATCACCATAGGCTGGTGAAATACACAGGCTATCAGGGGGCATTTAACAAGTGGTGAGATGTGCTGGGATCAGTGTATTCATCTTGTACAAGTGGTCAGCCCTGTTAGAGCAGAGACTAGGTCCCAGGCATCTTAAGCATTCTCTCCAGTAAATGAGACGCTCTGGATCTGGACATGGCAAAGGTCAGGTTAGTTAGCTGCTGCTAAGTGAACTCTAGGTTGTCTTTACTACTCCTATGAGCTAGATCGTTGTTTCAGCATGGAGTGGTTCTTCAGCTGGTAAAGATCTAGCTTAGCGACAATGGCTGGTACTCCCCAACAACTTCTTGGCATGGTCCTGGTGGACAGTGAAGATTAAAACATCCAGTCCAACTGTGTCTGCAATCCCCCGGGCTCAATACACATAATGTGTGGGTAATAACAACCATGTCTTCCTAGCTGCTGGCCTGTCCAACTCTCTGCCCTTTCTATTTTTCAGGGCTTCTCCTACGTTCTCCATGAAGGTGAATGCTGTGGAAGGTGCCTGCAATCTGCCTGTGAGGTGACAACTGGCTCACAGCGGGGAGACTCCCAATCTTACTGGAAGAGTGTAGGTCTGGGCCCCTGAGAGGGTGGGAAGTTGGGCAGTGATTTACCAGCTGGGAGTCCATTCTGTGGTTTGATGTTGACCTTGGTTTCCTCTTATTTCCTGCTCTTTGCTTTTTCCACAGGGAGGTTAACCCAGCTGTTGGTATTACTTGACTATCAGTTGGGATTAACTTACCTTTCAGGAACTACTAGTTAAGACTGATTCAAATTTCCCATTTTATGAATTTGGGGAGAAGCTCAGTGGCCTCCTCAAGAGTTCCATGACCTCCAGGGATTTATGCTCTCCTGTTCTCCAGTGACCCTGAATTGTGCACCCCCAGCATGGTTGGGTGCTTCACCATCCTACACCTGCTGTGGGACAACCACCTCTCCAAAGACACAGGCTGCAAGTTCTGTTCTGTAGCAGTGACCCAGGCCTCAGACCCATTCATTGATTTCCATTGAAACCTCCCTGGTGGTTTTATGGAGGTGAGAAAATTTATCACCCAGAGAAGCAAACAATATTTCTGCCTCAAAGTCCCATAACTGTCTCTGCAGATCTGGCTGTAGAGTCTTGCATGTTGCTGGCTCCTTATCTCCCCACTTTTGCCTTCTCCAGCCCTCTGCCCCCCACAGTAGCCAGATTCCTTCTGATGCAGATCATCTTTGCATAGCTGTCTCCCCAGAGGCCCCCAGGTGCTTACTTCCACTCCAGGTGCTTATCAAGCCATATTCTAAACACAGAGAGTTCCCTCCTAGGGAATTTTAGTCTCAATGCCGGGATAAGAACAATTCTTTGCCTTCTATCAGAAGGATGAAGTAGGTGGTACAAAGCCCTGGATCCTCAGGGGAAGCTTCTGGAAGAATGTGAGATGCCCATATGGGCCTTGCCCTCTGTCTCCATCCAGCAAGACAAATATACTGTGCTTTATGGAGAAGACAAAGGGTTAACTATCTTGTCCCCTACAGGTCCATCTCCTACTCAGGTCTTTCCTTCCTCATGGATAACCAAACAACTCATCGAGTTTTTCTGGATAGATTTCTACCTCTCCCTTAGATCCAAGTTTGCCTATGGATTTCCTTGCCACACATCCTCCCTGCTTTCCCGTTCTTTCAGTTTTTCTGCTTTCCATTCATCCTGGACTGAGGCAGGTTTTGTACCTCTGCCCCAGAGTTCAGGGCCAGCAAAGATCAGAGGCTACTCCATCTTGGTGAAGCTGAGTGCCAGCCTGTTTGAGGCTCAGTATCCCCCTCCCCATCTCTCATCTTCTTCCATGACTCACACAGCCTTGCCCCACATCGGTATTTGCAACCTGAGCTTCTCTTCTCCAACTCAAGTCTCTACCTTGCCTATAAGACTTGGGTATCAACAGAGGCTCTGCTTCTGGAAACATATTAGAGACCACTGGGGGTGTGGGAGAGGGTCCTTTTTATGGATTCCATGGCCAAAGCTCAGCAAGTGGCCTAGAGTGGGAAGGTTTGGTCATGGCAAGTCAGAGGTGAGAGGCAAAGACAACACAAGTGTCTGGCCTCTCCAGCTCCTCATCTGGAAACAGAAGAAAGTAAGAAGTCAGGAGAAGCAGGTCAGCACCTGGTAGGGGAGAGTACAGCCATTTATGTGTCTGGATTCTGCCTTCACAGATGGTACTTGTTGCAACACATTTTCTAGGCAGATCCTCCTGGAGATTTCTCTGAACTATGGTCTTGGTCCTCTCAGTTCTCGTTGCCATAGAGCCAACCTTTGAGGCCAGGCTACCCATCCATAGCCCAGATACCTTCAGAACAGATTGCAGAGCCACAGGTCTCCAGAGCCAGCATTCTAGGTCTCCTGCCATCTCCCCATGCAAGTGGGAAGTAACAGCAGGCTGGAAAATGATGGCACATCCTCTCTGCATCTCTGCACTGCCAGCCCATACTGCTGCTTCTTGTTCAGAGGGCCCTTGAGTTTCTCAGCTCTGCTCAAAGACAATGCTTAAGATGGCAGGGAGCATCTCTGGGATTCCTTAGGTGCTCAGTCAGGGGTTGAAAATGGTAGCATCAGGTACATGTGACTAGAATCTTTATCAGGTGACCTTGACCCACTTGGAGTTCACTGGGATGAGTCTCATTTATTCCCTCAGTGTGCCTTACCTTATGAGGACTTGGATGCTGAATAGGGCTCACCTCTGGGTCCCAGCTCGTTGCCCAGGAACAGCACATGGCCCCCGGGACTTTGGGCCCCAGCTAGTACAGCATGTTTGACTGCCTCTGGTGCTCTGCAGGTTGGCTCTAGCTGGGCCTCTCTGGAGGACCCCTGCCTCATCAATGAGTGTGTCCGAGTGAAGGAGGAGGTCTTTGTGCAGCAGAGGAATGTCTCCTGCCCTCAGCTGGCTGTCCCTATCTGCCCCACAGGCTTCCAGTTGAGCTGCAAGACCTCATCATGTTGCTTCAGCTGTCACTGTGGTAAGGCATACTGGCCAGGGCCTGACACGGACCTAGACTCACAGTCAAACCTCTCTTCCCTCTTCTAGCTCCTGAATTCTTTGCCTTTTTAGTAGCTCAGGGAAATGAACAGGATAAAAATCTTCCCATATGTTGCTAATGCATTTATGAGAAAGCAAACAAGAGGGGAAGAATATAACAATTTCCTAAAGGTCACCATGTTCCCAGCTTTGTGCTCAAAGATAGCTTTCTACCATTGTCTCATGTAATCTCCATGATATTATTAAATGGTAGGACCAGGGTTCAACCCCAGACTTGTCTGATTCTGGAGACCACCTATTCTATTAGAGCAATGTTGCCTCACCTACAGGAAGGCATTCCCACTTGCCACTCCCTTACCCGACAGCAGACAAACAAACAATCAAATAAACGGCGACAACACAAAACCCAATTGTCTCCACCAGCCTGCTCTGAATACTTTGTCAGAGTTCTCTTGGGACTCATAAATCCAAACATCCTTCCATCCACCCTCAAATGTAAATTCACTTAAACAAGTGTTACCCCCCTGGAGAATGTACTAGGCTCTCCTTGGCCTAGGCTGGGTGCTGAGGAGTTAGGCAGCTTTGATCCCCTCCTTAGGAAGAGGGAAGGGAGGCTATTAGGACTATGGCAGTAGGACCTACAGCTCCCTGGGTCGTGGTGAGTAGAAGGACTATTAGTCAGAGGAGGCAGACTGGGACATGGGAGAAGATCCAGAGGGGAACATGGGTACTGTCCTCACTCACATATGGCTCTTCTCCCTCAGAGCCCATGGAGGCCTGCATGCTCAATGGCACCATCATTGGGGTAAGCTACTGTCTTCTCTGGAGTGAGTGGTGGGGACAGGGGATGGAGAGAAGGTGCTGTGGGAAGTCCAGTCATTCTACAGTAGAAATGAAAGGAATCTGGGAGACCTCCCCCTACTGCACTTCCCACTGCCTGCAGGTCTTCTCACCATCCTAGAGCTGGGCTAGGACCATCTTCCCAGTTCTCTAGGGCCTGTGCTCACTGCCTTGCACTTTACTCTTGGCTCCTACCTCTGGCATGTAGGTGTGTCCTATGCACATAGAGAAGCACTCTGAAGTCACTGTCCCCTCTCCTATTGCCCTGGCTGCCTCTCTGGCTTGAAAATGTTCAGTCTTACCATCTCCACACTTAAGCTGGGAGGGCAGAAGAAGTGGTCACTAGAGACTGTAGAAACATTACAGTGATGGCTCATGGTAGCCACGGGTAAGCATGCCCATGATGGCTTGAGGGGATGAGGTGGGTGGGGGTTTGGGGATGCTGGGGAGTCCTGACCCTGGTTCTCTGTTTCTAGCCTGGGAAGACTGTGATGGTAGATGTGTGCACAACTTGCCACTGCACCATGCAAGTGGGGGCCATCTCTGGATTCAAGCTGGAGTGCAGGAAGACCACCTGTGAGACCTGTCCCCTGGTAAGGGAGGGTTGGTGGGATAAGGAATGTACTGGACACTGAAGGACCTAAGCAACAAGACCTTGCTGGGGTCTTTTAATAAACGTTGCCATATTTTCTGATTATAGAAAATATTTGGCAAGTATCAAGAAAAGAAGTCACCTACCCACATTGCGTCTTCCAGAAATAATTATAATTTAGTCTTGTACATTTTAAACATTTTTTCCTGTTTTTCAAAGAAAATATATTATTTGCAAGATATATGATAACATATTTACAGTTGTGTGTTCTTTTAAAATACATTTTAAGAAGCACCACTATCATTCTCTGAAAACATTAAAAATTAGTCAACAAATCTGTATCAAAGACCCTTGTGATGTGCATAGCTCTAGAAACATCTTTGAATGGAGGTATCTCATCGTATGCAACCAAACTTTAACTCTTGGGGATCTAGGTGGTTTAAAATGCTTCATGATGTTTTTGCTGAGTCACGATGACTGTATTTGTTCTGATACTTCTATAAGTTAGATTCTGACCAGTCGATCAATTTTTAATTTGGTAGGTTAAAATTGGTTTCGTCATTTTAAAAGTGTATGTTAGTTTATTTTTAATTAATTAATTTTTTTTTTGTGGTACTGGGGCTTAAACTCAGGGCCTAGCCCAACTATTTTTAATTTTAAAATAACTTCCAATTGATGCATAAAATTGTACATATTTATGGGGTACCTTGTGATTTTGTTGTTTTAATTATGACTTTTAGTTCCATCTTTTTTATTATTCATTTATTCACATGTGCATACATTGTTTGGGTCATTTCTCCCTCCTGTCCCCTGCCCCCTCCTTCTCCCCCTCTTCCCCCTCACTTCCAGGCAGAACCTGTTCTGTGCTTTTCTCCAGTTCTGTTGAAGAGTAGAAATAAGCAATAATAAGAAAGACATAGCATTTTTGCTAGTAGAGATAAGGACAGCTATACAGAGATATTCCTAGCATTGCTTTCATGTACAAATGTGTTACAACCCGTTTTGATTCATCTCTAACTGATCTTTACATTGGTTCCTGATCCCCTTCTCGTGTTGACCTCTGTCGCCTTAAGGTTTCTGTATTAATTCCTCTGGAGTGGGGACATCAAATGCTCTCATGTTTTGGGTTTTCTGTCTAACCCTGTACCTTCCGTATATGTTCTCCCCTTGTCATGTAACCCAAGTCCTACAACATTGCTGAATTTGCCCTAGATCTAAAGTCCACATATGAGGGAGAACATACGATTTTTGGTCTTCTGAGTCTGGCTAACCTTGTTCAGAATGATGTTCTCCAGTTCCATCCATTTACCTGCAAATGATAAGATTTCATTCTTCTTCATGGCTGAGTAAAATTCCATTGTGTACAAGTACCACCTTTTCTTGATCCATTCATCAGTAGTGGGGCATCTTGGTTGTTTCCATAACTTGGCTATTGTGAATATGCTGCAATAAACTTGGGTGTGCAGGTGCCTCTGGAGTAATCTGTGTTGCATTCCTTTGGGTATTTCCCCAGGAGTGGGATTGCTGGATCATATGGCAGATCTATGTTCAATTTTTTTCCATAGTGGTTGCACCAGCTTGCCTTCCCACCAGCAGTGTATGAGGGTTCCTTTTTTTAGTTCCATCTTGCCAAGATGTTATGAGCCCATGTAGGCAGAGAAGACCTGAACTCATGAAGAGGCCTTAGCATCTCCCTCAAGATCTACTGGGTTTATGACTTCTGCTATATTAGAAAATATATTGGTAGATGAGTTTCCTGTGAGCTAGATGCACAAAATATAGCAATAACTCAGATGATGAGAGGTGGGGGCTTTTCCCCCTTGCCTTTGTGAAGCATCAGGTAGGGCTGGCTGTGTTGGGGACAGGTGGAGGTCCTCATATTCAGAATAGAGCAGTGGCCAGAGGGGAAGGGGACATCTAAAGGAGGAGGACAGGAGCAAGGTGGGAACTAGGAGGTCATGTGTGTGCTTCTTACCTTTATGAGGACAAGAGACAAGTGTCATGCTCAAAGTGGGACTTAGTCAAAGATTCGTGGAATGAATGGGCCTATAGGGTCACAGCTATTTCTGACAGCTGTCTCTATTGGAAAGCAGCTAATTTAGTGCAGGCTTAAACATTTTCATTAGCAAGTATTAATTACATAAAAGAATCAGTTTCATTCATGAGATTTGATCATATTCACCCCCTCTCCCCCCACTATCTTCTCTTGTTCTCCTTCCTCAACCACATGCTTTTGCTTCTGCCTGTGTGTGCTTAAATCCCAGTTGATGTTTTAGGATTTGGCTCTGTGAGTGTATGCGTGTTTGCATAAAACAACCCCTTAGCATACATGTGGGGCCTCCTGGAGGGTGAGCCTGCCAACTCCCTAACGGCGCCCTCTGGTGTTTTAGAAGATAGCATGGTCACTTCCTCTGCCTCCAGAGAGGTCCTGCTTTAAAATCCAGTCTAGATGTTGGTTTTCAAGTATTTAAAAACCCATGATACTTTTGGTCTGTATTCTTTTTGTTTTCTCCAACATTTTGATGTTTCCCCAGGACAGCGTACCTCCCTCCTCCCTCTTAAGAATCCTCAGATCAGCCTTCTTTCTATATATCTCTCATTGGCTGGAATCTGAACCAGTTGGCCCCATTCTAGCTCAACTCTTCTAATGGTCATAGTACACTCTTCTGGCATAAAGGGTAGCTCTGGTGAATTAACTCTAGGCAGGTCTGCTTGAACTGCCTCCATCAGACTAGTGTTAGCATCAGCTGAGAGCTGAAGCCTCCATTGTCTCTGGGGAGATGGTGCTTATACCTACAGGGAGACCAGAAAAAGGTGTTTTGTGCCAATGGGTGGGGGAGATAAGCTTGACAGATCAACACTTAAGAAAAGCAGGAGGAAGAGAGGGCCCCTTGCCATGGGACATTCAGAAGAAGGAGGATGACTCTGATCTGACCTTGAGCAGGGGGTGGATGGTGAGTGCCTGGCAGACTGAAGCAAAGATCACCAAAGAGAAGCCAAGGCTAGATATGATTGAAGGGCATGAGTGGCTGGTGAAATAGAAGGGAAAGGGGCTGTGAGAGGCTTGCAAGGTCAAGTTTTGGGACTGTTGTAGGAGGGGAAGCAGGACTAAATTGGCTGTGAATTAGGACTAATTGGCTAGACAAGCCACCTCTGTGACTGGCTGGGAACTTGGCTTAGTGGCTGAGGAAGAGGCAGTGATGGGATGTTCTGGTGACCACCCAGTGGCAAGGCTCCTCTCCATGTATGGTGACATATGGAACACATACTCGCTGTCCGCAGCCCTGGGAAGTCCAGCAGTGCTCAGACAAGTCCTTGTCACCATCATGGGCATGGTATGCCGCTGTTGTCTGCCCTTAGCAGACACATAGGGGTTGTTCTCTTCACTCACTTCCATGCTGCTGCTTGTCCCTTTCCTTCCACTCCCTCCCCTCAAAACAAACCCCATTGCCCCCTCCTTATTTCCCACCTTCTTTTCCTACAACTCCTCTCTGCCTTTCTTATTTGCCCTCTGCATCCCTGGTATGTGGATTTTGCCACCACTGTCTTGCCTATTTTATGTTGCACCCTCCTTCCCCATTTGCTGCCACCTCCTCAATTCTTTTGTAAGGATTTTGTCCATTTCCTTCTCCCCAGGCCCACAGAAGGAGGGCATTTCCTAGTATCTTCTAACACTCACTAAAAATGCCCAACTCCAAGTTCCCATGAAAGCTGACCCGATTGAAGACGTATTTTATTTCTTCATTTTGACTCCTAACCACTCACTTTCACTCAATGCTTATTCCATCTCTTTTCTTCCTCTTTCATTTGCCTTGGTCATGCACCTTCCAGGAATTATGTGTTTAAAAAACAGTTTTAAGCTTACAACTGAAACACTACCTCATGACCCTCAAAGTCAACTTCTTTTCAAAGTGGTGTTTTTGGCCTGGGCCCAGTCTCCCTGCTTTTGTGTTGAGCTCCATTCTCATTTCCAACTCCCTGAAGACACATTAAGTTCATAGCTTGATTTACGAGGAGCAAGTTGTTTAAATTCACATCTGAGCAAGCTTCCTGACGCCTACTCTTGATCTTGGGGCTAGTCTTCCATCTGGGTGCTAAAACTGACTTGTTAGAAATTCTTATTAGAAAGTCCTCAGGACCCTAGTGAATGGCTCTGTGAGTGGTGACTACTGAATGTGGCAAAATGGGAACAAGAATGATAACAAGTTGATTTCTCTCAGAACAAATTTAAACATTTTTGAGGGGAAGGATGAGAAGAACTAAAAACATCAATTTTTAATGAAATTATGGTACAACTGATGGTAGTCTTTTAGTTTTTTTACTCTATTAAAATTACTTATAAATATTTTTAGTTTGCAAAATAAAAAGTTGGCCACCTTATGTTGTTCTGAACTTTGGGAGCATTTTTGCAAAATAGTGGAATCCTGCTGTCTAGAAGTTACTACTTTTTCCAATGAAGATAGCAATGAAGGGCTATCATCTTAAGCTGGCATCAAGCTGCCATCTGAATTCCTCTCAGTGATGCAGGCTGAGGCTGCCAGCTGCTAGGATACAACTGTATAGGCGTGATTCGGAGCTTACCTTCATCTCAGGGAACAGTACTGTCCTGTGTGAGAGTTCCAGTTAATCCTCCTTCATGCCTGGTATTAAATTTTCACTGTTGTGGAGTGATATCCTACAGTATTTTAAGTTTGTGTTGCTTGACTAATGACATAAAACATCTTATGTACTTATGGCCCATTTCTTTGGTGAAGTGTTGGTTTGAACTTTTTACTTTGAGTTGCATTGTTTACCTTTTTGTTATAGTTGTATGATTTTTTTTCCTCTATTTTGGATACTAGTTCTTTATAAGGTGTTTATTATAATATTTTTTCTCAATCAGTGGCTCAGCTTTTATTTGTCTGAATTGTATTTTTTTGAAGGCTGGAAGTTTAAATTTTGATAATTTGGGGTATCAGTGTTTACTTTTATGGTTAGTGTTTTTTATTTCCTGTTTAAGAAATCTATCTCATTTCAAGGCTATGAAAATATTCCCCTATATTTTCTATTAAAAGCTGTATCATTTTAGTTTAGTTTAGGCCATCAAGAATTAGTTTTTGTATATGCTGAAACAAGGAGTTAAGGTTAATTTTCCCTCCCATGTGAATATTCAGTGGTTCCAGAAGAATTTTGTTGAAGGACGACCTTTTTCCATCACTGAATTACATTTGTATCTTTGCAGAAAATGAATTGCCTGTACATGTGTGAATCTATTACTGAATTCTCTTTTCTGATCCTTTGATTAATATGTCTTTCCTGTAATCATATCATGGACTTGGTTACTGTGACTTTATGGTAAAATTTGAAATCCAATAGTGTCTTTAAACTTTGTTCTTTTTCAAGATGGTCTAACTATTTTACATCATTTCCCATTTCAAATAATTTTAGAGTCAACTTGTCAATTTTTATGAAAAAAGTTAAAAGTATATGTATGATATTAATTTGAAGTTTAATCTGGAGAGAACAGACATTTTGATACTGAGTTTTTCAATTCGTGAACATATTATACACTTCTCCATTTATTTAGCTCTTTGTCTCAGTCTGTGCTGAGACTAGGTAATTTACAAAGAACAGAAATTTATTTTCTCATAGTTCTGGATGCTAGAAAGTTCAAAATTAAGACCCTGGCAGTTTAGTGTCTGATCTGTTTATATAGGTGACATTTTTTATGATGTCTTCACATGGCAGAGGGAAGAAGAATAAAAGTCATTCCTTTCAATTTCTTATTATAAGAACACCAATTCATTCATGAGGGCAGAATCATCAATATTTAATCATTTTCCCAAATGTCCAACCTCTTAATGTCATTACCTTGCAGTTTAAGTTCTAACATATGAATTTTGGAGAGACATACAGTCAAAACATAGTTGATTTCTTTAAGTTTTTTCTCTGCAATGATTTGTGGTTTAAAGTGTAGATTCCTTGCACATATTCTGTTAAACTTCTTTCCTAAAATTTTAAGAGTCTTGGATGATCTTGTGAATAGAATTTTAAAATAACTCATGTTGTTGTTGTTTATTGATTTTATACAAAATTTCCGCTATTGGTCCTGTATTCTGCAGTCCTCCTAAATTCACTTATTAGTAATAGTAGTAGTATTTTTGTCCTTGTTGTTTTTGGAAGGAGCAGATTCCTAAGGATTTTCTACATAAACAGTTATGACACTTTCAAATAAAGACATGTTTTACTTCTTCTTTTGCAATGTTTATGCTTTTTTCCTTATTTTTCTTGCTTACCTGGATTTTCTGGCTAATACCTCCTGTACAATATTGAATGGAAATGATGAGAGATATTTAGTTTCTGACCTAAGGGGGAATTAATTCATTAAGTATGTCTTGTATCAGATTTAAAAAGTTGTTCCTTTCTATTCCTGTTGTGCTGAGAGTTTTTAGATCTTGAATGGTTTTTTGAATTTTGCTAAACAGTTTTATGCGTTAAGATAATCTTATGGTTTTCTCCTTAATTCTGTTAGCACGAAGAATTACACTGGTTGATTACAAATGGTGAGCTAAGCATTCATTCTTTTGAAAAAAATCCCATTTGGTGACCTACTACTAGCTCAATTTGCTAATATTTTGCTAAAGGCTTTTGTGCGTATGATCAAAAGAGTGATAGATTCCTAATTTCCTTCTTTTATATTTTTGTTAGATTTTTGTAGCAGGGTTATGCTAGACCTAATAAATATGGTGGTCAGTGTCTCCTCCTCTCTTTTCTAAAAGAGTTTGTGTAACTTTGATATTATGAGACTGCAGACATCTTGGGTTCAAACCCCTGTACCACAAAAAAATTGGTATAATGTCTTCCTAAAATCTTTGGTAGACTTCACCAATGAAGCCTTCTGATTCAGAAACTTTTTCATTTGAGAATGTTTGGTATATAAACTCCAACTTTTGATTCCTTCCCTAAAGTATCCTTGTTGCTCCTGAAATCCCCATTCTTTTTTCCCATTATATCCATCATTTTTTTCTAGATTCTTCAATGTATTATTACAGTCATCTAAAAGTTCCTGTCTGCTAATAGCAACATCAAGGTCATTTGTGTGCCTATTTCCATTGAGTGGTTTTTCTTGTTGTGGATAAATTCTTCCTATTTCTCCAATGAAATGTTTTTACTATGTGGTAGACATTGGTGGTGGATGTATTCTCTCTCTCTCTCTCTCTCTCCCTCTCCATGTATATTAATATTAATTGTACAAAGTGAAGTGACTCTCAATTCTGTTGTTTTCTTGTAATGAATGTTAAGTTTGGTTGTAGCAGGTGGTTAGATTTTTGATGGTTCACTTGTACCTAAAGGAGCTTTGATTTTTAAACTACATTAGGGGGGATTGATTTCATCATTTCTTTTAGTCAAGAGGTGAATATTTTAGTGCTGAGATATAAATTGTACTACTATTAGTCTTGGTCTTTATGAAATTTCATTGGAAACTGAGGCATTTACCTAGGACCAGAACTCCCTCCCAAAGCTTTTAAGCAGGAGTGTGACATGGCTTACTATATCGTAATGATGTCATTCTAGTAGGTGTGTAGTGACTTATAGTAGGGGCAAGAATGGAGGTAGGAAGACAAAGTAAGACTATGCTCAAAGTCCAGTGGAAGATGATTATGGATGGCTTAGACTAGATGTGAACAGAGGATATTAGTCATGACAAGCAGTGGATGGATTTGAGATGGAGTTTTGGCAAGATTTGGTGATGACTGGGGTGGGGTGGGGTGAGAAAATAGGAGAGTCAAGGATGATTTCCAGATTTCTAGCTCAAGCACTAGGTCATGACACTATCTACTAAGACAGAGAAGACTGGAAAAGGATGATATTTGGAGCAAAAATGAAGTTTCATTTTAGATACAAGTTTTAAGATGGTGCAATAAATAGTTGTTTAGTAAATAATTGATTATTCCAGAGTTGAGGGGAGAGGTCTACTTTAATAGACATGACCGTTACAACATGAGTGTGATGCACATGTAGAGAGAAGAAATACTATCTGGGGGACTGAGAACTGACAAGAACTAGTTAGAGTAGTATGTTGGCTTTCTGAGCTCTAGGTAAAACTGTGGGGTAGGAGAGATGAAAAGCAAGCAAGGTAGGCCTGTCTCTTATTGGAATGTTCTGGAAGATTAACCACGGCTGTTTTCTTTCCTGGATACAGGGTTACCAGGAAAAGAAGAACCCAGGTGAATGCTGTGGGAGGTGTTTGCCCATGGCCTGCACTATTCAGCTAAGAGGAGGACAGGTCATGACGCTGAAGGTGGGAAAAATCTACACTCAAGGGTCCTCATTTGTGTCACTATCTGCTTTCCTACTTTGGGGTATTTTCTTGAAGAAAGAGGAATTAATTTTGGTTCAGTGTTAACTTCTTTTTCCCCTTCTTTCTGATTTTATACAGAAAAGATGGATGACTTGTAGATGACAGAATTTCCTCTGATTTATTTTGTTGCCTGACAAAAATCTTTTTTTCTGTAGCCTTAAGAATCTGTGGGACTGGACAGACAATCAGGGTGAAACAGACTTTGATCTATGACAGCCAGAATTAGCTGTTGGGGCTGGGAGGGGTGCCCTGGCTCATTTGTCTTTCACTTAAAGTGTTAGCCAAGTTACTCTTTTGTCTTCACCCTGTAGGTACTTATGTGGTCAAAATAGTCTGGGGATTCTCTGTTCATAGTAAATAAATAATAAAACTGAGATTTTACTTCTATTCTGTATTCTGAGTGTGGAGATTTTGTATGTCGTCTAGTTCTTGTCCCATACTTTTCCAAATTCTTTAAGCAACTTCAGGGAGTCAAGACCATGGCTTGAAGTAGCTTTGTAATCCAAACACTGTCTTTGCATCTTCTTTTTCTACCACTTTGCTTTCCTTTCAGCGTGATGAGACACTCCAGGATGGCTGTGATAGTCACTTCTGCAAAGTCAACGAGAGAGGAGAGTACATCTGGGAGAAGAGGGTCACAGGCTGCCCACCCTTTGATGAGCACAGATGTCTGGCTGATGGAGTGAGTAGTTACAACTCAGATCCTGCTTTTATTTTGACTGTCTCAATTTTTGACTCCAAGAACACAGCTCCCTTGAACATCATGCAGCCCAGTCCTTACACAATATCCCAGAATCGAAGGCAGATCTCTGACCTAGTTTAAGAATTGATGAAGTTACAAAATCAAAGCATGATGGATAGAAAAAGCTATCTGTAGTCTAGGATGCTTTAAAAAATGTCTTTCAGGCCAGGTGTGGTGGTACAGGGCTGTAATCCCAGTAAGGGTAAGAGGATTGCTGTCCAAGTCTGGCCTGGGTAAAATCATGAGACCCTATATGAAAAACCAACTAAAATCAAAAGAACTGGGGCTTGGTTCAAGTGGTAGATTGCTTGCCTAGAAAGTGCGAGGCTCTGATTTCAATCCCTAGTATTGAAAAAGTCCGTCACTTGAGGGAGGCTGAAACTGTGATCCTTGAGAAGGTGAGAGATCAAACTCTTTTAGTTTCTCTGGGAATGATGATCTTGATGACTCAGTTGGAAGAGAATTCCAAATAATGAAAACTGTTTTGGCCTGGTCGGGCAGAGTGGTCAGTCAGCTTATGTTTGTGATGGGAAAGAAGCTCACGTTTCGGAACTTAAACTCCGGGAATCGATGAGACCTAAAAACTGTCCACAATGAACTATTTGTACCTAATCTAGTACTTTTCTATTTTCTTAGGGGAAAATCATGAAAATTCCAGGCACCTGTTGTGACACATGTGAGTAAATTACTAAAAGCTTGTCCCTTGAAACCCATTAGACCTAGTCTAGACACTGTTCTTTGAAATATGCTTTATTCCAGAAAGATATTCCTTGGTTACTGACCAGTCATTGTGCTCAGCCCTACAGTGATCTGCCTCCTCTTCTTAAAGGTCATTAGATTGCTCCTGCTCAAATCCCTTTTCAAATGCTTGCAAAGCACTCTCTTCCCCTGTCCTCTAAACTACTCATTGTCTCCAGCCTCTTATATGCCTTTGTCCTTGGTTGTTGATATCATCAGGGAATATCTGCTGCCTCTAACCAGAGCTCCCTGAACACAGGTACTCTTGGTCCATGGTCTTTGCAGAGTACATACTTAACCCTCATCTACTCATTGCATATGATCTATCTTGGAGGAAAGGGAAGCCACCAGCTGGCTAATGATAGCCCACCAAGTGCTCTGGGGGCTGTAGGAGGATAGAGTGTCTTCTTAAGAATTCATAAGGACAGTTATGTTTGTGACCTCCCTTTCTCCACTCTTGGTCCCTTCTGACCTTCCAGTTATGTCATGCCGGTTGGCTATAAATCGCTCATAGCATCAGCTTTGGGGATGCACATAAGACAGAATTCTTCCCCCACACTCTTGTGTTCATGAGAACCAAGTTCACAAGAACTTAGAACTACTGCCTGGACTAATATTTTTTGTTTTTGTTTTTAGCTTAGTTTTCCATTTGTTTAGTTTAGTTTTGAATTCACGGGCCCATGCTTATTTACTAGAAGAGAACAGAGTAAAAACATGAATACCTACAATCATTCCTTCTTTTTTTTTGATGGATTACTCTGACAGCCCCTGTAATTACTATACCCAAATCTCAGATTGAGGAAAATCACTCTGAAAACCCATCTTTCTGTAATTCTCATCTGAGTGATTTAGGAATGGGACATCAGGAGACCATCAGGGAAGATGAATTCTCTCTAGATATACTGCACATGGAATTTGCTTCTGAGACTATTATCTACACAACCTCAACAAGGTGCCTTTGCTGGACACCATGTTCAGGAGGTCTTTAAGACCTTTTGTAAGGGAAATAAGCAGGGAGTAGGGATTTAAGTCTACAGAAAAAGAATACTGCATGTTGGCCTAAATTTGTTTTCCTCGTTCATCCTCTTCTGTGGAAATTGGGAGGGAGGCTAATATGTAGTTAGGAGTGACTTAGATAAGAAACCATCCCAGAATGGAAAATTCCCATTGTTTTGATGGGAAAGGTAAGCTAGCATTAAATCTTAGAATTCACTCTATGTCAAGTAGAGTTTCAGATATGAATGCTACCACCCCGTGTGTAAGAAAACCCCTGTTGGCAACCTGGAGATGGCAATACCCAAAGGGAGGACTCCACAAAGGCTCATGGGGATCCTCTCGGCCTCTGCAGAGACAGCAAGTACCTGTATATGGCCAGGACCTTTGCATTTCCTCTTACCCCAAGGCAGGGGTTGATATTAATTCTATTTATTGGCTACCTCATTGTCTGTTAGCTTCAGGAGATAGTTATTGCATGAGAGGATTGCTGCAGCCATTATGTTTTTTTATTCTACAATAATATCATAGCAAGTCTCATTCATCTTCATGACCAAAGCACAGTGAATCTAGGGTCCGTCTGCAATTAAAGTTCTACCATTTAATGAGTTAAATCCAGCAATAATATCTCTGAATTTGATTGGCCAGGAGCAGCTGAGGTAGACCAGGATAACTGAATTCCCCCCCTTGTAGCTGGCTTTGGTTACTTGCTCATGGTGAAATGGACCCATTTCCAGCTCAGTGAAGGCACTGGGGTTAGAAAATGTGCTACAGAGCCCTGGCCAGTCCCCAAGTTCCATCTCTCACTCATTCTATAGGTGAGGAGCCTGACTGCAAAGACATCATTGCCAGACTGCAGTATGTCAAAGTGGGAGACTGTAAGTCCCAAGAGGAAGTGAACATTCATTACTGTCAGGTAAGGCCCTCTGAGTTTTAGGAGGCTTGAATAAGAAAAGCTGAGTCTTTTTGTTTGGATATGCCTCTTTGGTTACATTTTAGAAGGGTCTGAAACATTCACAAGGAAGAGAAGGGAAAAGAAGGAAGAAAGGGGAGAGGAACTGGAAGCATTTTTTAAAATAAATGTTTTACTAGGACTTTTGATTCCAGAAGAAAGACTAAACAAATCCTTTAAATGAATGGAGGAACGAGGTGCTGGTGGCTCATGTCTGTAATCCTAGCTACTTGGGAGGTATAGACAGGAAGATCATGGTTTCAGGCCAGCCCAGACAGAAAAAGTTTATGAGACACCATCTCAACAGAAAAAAACTGGGGTGTGGCGCTGTGTGCCTGTCATCCCAGTGACAGGGGGAAGTGTTAAATAGGGTAATGGTGGTCCAGGCCAGCCTGGGAATAAATGAGACCCTATCTGCAAAATAAGCACAGCAAAAAAGGGCTAGAAGTGTGGCTCAAGTGGTAGAGCACCTGCCTAGCAAGTGTGAAACCCTGAGTTCAACCACCAGCACCACCAAAAAAAAGAAAAAGAAAAAGAACTAGAGGGTTATTTAAGGAAGGCGGGGGTTACATTTTCTGCATAGAAATTGCAGCTGGAGGGATTTGGATGTGTATAACCATAGGTGAGAGGAAATTCAGTCTTCTATGAGATTATCCTGGGCATCTCTGGTGAGGGGGAGAAGCTGCCTTGCTTGGAAGGGCAAGGGGAAGATGCAGGTTGCCCCAGAATTTTGCCACCATGTTCAGTGTTGGGGTGATGCCCCACCTCTGTCTGCTGTATTGCAGGGCAAATGTGACAGCAAAGCCGTGTACTCCATTGACACAGAAGACGTGCAGGACCAGTGCTCCTGCTGCTCGCCCACGCGGACAGAGCCCATGCTGGTGCCTCTGCACTGCATCAACGGCTCCGTAGTGTACCACGAGATCCTCAACGCCATGCAGTGCAGGTGCTCCCCCCGGAAGTGCAGCAAGTGAGGCTTGCTGCAACTGCTGTGGAACCCATTGCTGCCTGCCTCAGCCTCACTGGCCCAAGTACTGCTCGGCCCTCTGTGCATCCTGCTGTCTTGCCCTCTGGGGCCCACAATAAAGGCCAAGCTCTCATGTTGCACAGGCTGGTGGTGCACTGTGTCTGAAGCCTGGGATGGCAGCTGTGGGCTAGGACTCAGTTCTGAGGCTGGCTCTGAGGGAGAAGGCACAGGACCCTCTGTAGACACTATCAGCCCAGTGTCCTGGGACGTCCACCTCCAGGAAAGAGAGGAAATTCTGAGTTCTAGTGTGGGGAAGGCAGTGTGGGCAGGCCTCTGCAGGAACTGAGCCCCATGGCCTGAAGCAAAAGGGATTCACTCAGGAATGCTGAGTCTCAAATATCTGAATCAGGTGGTTTCTGCACATGGCAGAGGGCTGGATCCTGGAGGCAGGATCCCAGCAGATAAATATGGCTGTTGACAGGGTAGCTGATACTGACCAGGTGTGATGAAGTTCCTATGTACCAACCTTAGGGCCCCTGTAGAAGGGAGAGGTGCTGAGGACTGAGGGCACCAGGTGCTGGCAGGTGCAGGACCCTGGTCCAACCACAGGCTCAGCCATGGACAGACCTGTGCTCCACCCATGGCTCTTTGTCAACCACAGGCCTCCAAGAAGCCCCTTCACAGTTCTCAGACTCAGTTTCTCATCTGGAAAAAAGTCCCCCATGGAATTATGAGAATCAAGAAGGTTTGCCTAAAATAAAGCAACAAAGACCTTAGGCAATTGTAAAATTTCTCTAATGTAAGAAGTGATAAGAATAAAAATGGAGAAATCAGTCCTCAGAGGGGAGATTAATGACATCAGTGGCAGAGCTTTAGGGATTTTCTTCATTCCAAGGATGAAATGCTGAGTTTTGGGGGGAGTTATGCTAAATGCCAAGGCTCTACCTACTCTAGACATCTTTTAATGGGAAAAGGAATAGATAACACTGAGTAACACCTCGCTAACTGGTTCTGTCACTCTCCTTCCTTAAAATGTATGAAAAATGTTTACATGTCCATGCCAGCAAGGTGGCAGAGACTCCAATTGGGGAGCAAACACCCATGAGAATAAAGGGGGTGTCCTGGAAGTGCTGTAAGAATTAGATGGGGTTTTCACTCCAAATCCATTTAACAAGGAGAGACTCAACTCATTGAAAATTCTGAATGATGGAGTTGAAAGGATTTAGACATTACCAGTCCATGGTCCTCTCCCCACCCTGTAGAGATGATGAAAACAGCTCAGAGAAATCATGTGATTTGCAAACAGCATTCAGCTCCTGAATGGTAGGGTGAAGGTCAGAACTCAGTGCCCTGACATTGAGACAAAAACTCCAGAGCCACCCTGTTGCTTACAGATTCTTTCCTTGCTCTCATACAAGCCACTGAACTGCTACATTCCTAGGTTTCAGCCACTCCTGTTGCTGCCTGGAACTAACCTCAAGAGTAGCTACATCACAAGAAAATTGAATGGATTGTGTTGAGTAGATCGGTGGGGAGTTGAGTGAGGCAGAGGGAAGGAAGAGTAGATAGAAGTTTTACATAACGACTTAATAATTAAAGGGTTGTCATCTCTCCATCTATCCCTCTGCCCCCCCAACTTGGAGTAGCCTTTGAGGTCTCTTTCTGGAGAAAACCAGATCCAGGGACAGGGAATTAACTGTCACTCTTCTGACCGATTGCCTAACGCTACCTGGGGACAGGTGTTATTGGAGGCATAGGTCACAGAGAAAGCAGGCAGGGAGATTGCAGTATGGCTTGTTAGTTCCCCATGGCCTGTGCCTTGATGGTCTGAGCTTTGCCTCACTGTTACTGACTAGCCAGTTCACTGTTGAGAAAAAAGCCAAATCAGGAAAACCATGTTTTGATTAAAAATAACAAACATAAAAAAATAGTGTTAGGCTGCTGGGTAAAAAGGATGTAGGAGGAACAGGTAGAGCTAGTGAGCAGGGAGAGTGTCTTCCTTTATCTACAGGTATCCCAAGGGCAGGGTCTTCCCTGGTTGCAGGCACCCTCTGTTATGCTCACCCTTAGGCCAGATGAGACAGAGTCCTCCAAAGTGTATGTTTTAGGGGGATCTCAAGGAAGGAGTTCACAGGACAGAGAGAGAGAAAGAAGAAAGGGAATGGATAAAGGAGTAATCATGGAGATTTTCCTATACTTTTGGGTTGGAAAAGACATGGGGAAGAGTCACTGAAAGTAATCAAGGAGAGAGAGCATTGCTGGGGAGAGAGAGAAGCTGAACAGCAAAGTGTTTTGAGTGCAGATGCTGGAGCAGGCTGCCTGGCTTTGGAAGCTGGGACAACTCTTAGAGACAAGTTGGTTGACCTTTTATACTACAGTCTGCCTCTGTACATAGTGGGCATACTGTGTAATTACTTCATAGAATTATTGTTAGGATTAAAACAACTACTCTAGGGGAGGTGCCAAGAAGGTACCAGATACAAACGAAGGCCTGCACGAATACCAGCCATTATTACTTGGAGTGAGCAGATTGGGACATAATACCTTTTGATTTTCTTTGGTTCTGCCCTTGATCCATGCTTCATTGTACACTTAACCCCTTCTACCATCATCTGTAGAATGGGGTGCAGTGCTCACCAGTACACTTTTTCAATATAAGAGAGTCTTCCTTCTGACTCTCCTTGATCGGATCCTGGCACTTCTTGGGGAAGCACTTATAAAAACTCCCTCTCCTATCCTTTGTGTCCTATGTACACCTGCTTGGCACTCCCAACCCTTGTCTTCCTGCTTTAATCTAGAGAAAGGTGAGGACAGCAGGCGGAAAAGTAGTAAATGGAGGAGTGTATGTGTTGTTGTTGGTGGTGGGGACCAGCTGTCCCAGAATTGCCTCCACTCCCATCTACTGCCATCCCCTGCACAGCAGTGACCCTTTGGGGCGGCAGAAAAGAGGCTTTGCTGGCAGGATTGGAAACTAATCAGCCAGACCGTTCATGAGATAATCCGGCTGAATTTTCACACGGGAACCAGGTTGTGAGGCGCGTCTCCTGGGTGCAGGATTGCAGGCAGCATTTACTGGGTGGCCCCTCAGCGCCTCTAACCCCAGCATGTCCTGGACTCAATTCGACCCTGGGAAGAGATCTTTTCACCAAACCTGGCTATCAGCAGCGGTGCGCCCAGGACGACGCTGAGGCCAGAGCAAGGGCTCCGCGGGGCAGCTGTCTGTGGAGGGATGGAGGGGGAGGAGGAGGCGGCAGCAGGGGAGGGGCGGGCACGTTCAGAAGATGCTAAGCCACCATGGAATTAGCCCGAGGCTGCATAAGCCTGTCCGGAAGCCAGCGGGGCTGCGGGCAGTTGAGGTTTTGCGCCCATGAGCCCCGCACTATGGCTACTCCTGGATTATGTGGTGAGTTTCTCTGGTCCTGAGCGGGAAGTTGTAGGAGGGAGGGTACATTCTAACCCCTACCACTTGGGATGGGTGACTCTTAGGTGAACCTGGACAGGGCGGTGCTAGAAGCAGAGCCCCTTCCTTTGCAGAAAGGAAGCTGAGGGACATGCCTGAGTAATTTTCCAGATTCTTTGATTTTTTTTAAATCAAAGGACAAATGGCAGAGGATTGGTGCTCCCACTTCTCAGTGATTGAGAAATACCTACCTCTGTTATTTGCCTCTAGTTACAAGACCTTGGGATGTGGCTAAAGAGTATCTGAGGATAAGTAAACAACTAGCCAGGTTGATTTCAGTAATAGTCTAGTGAAGACAAAGCATCCCTGGAGGGCCTCACAGTTGCAGAAAGTCTCTTCTGGTCCTTACCCAAATCTACCCTCAGGAAGGGCTCTCATTCCATTTTACCTGTGTGCAGGAAAACACAGGTATGCCTTTCCTATGGTTGCTTCTTCGCAGAAATGCAAATTGAGATGGAGCCTAGGGGAGAAGGATGTTATTCCACTGCGCCTCCCAAATTATATTGAGTAGGAAGATGTGTTTGGGCAGAGTGGAGCTTTCCCCCCTGTTCCTTGGAGAGCTCAAGCACACTCCTGCCATGGAGTCTTTCACCTGTGCTTCCTTTGCTAGCTCATTCTGCAGATATCTTCAGGGCTTATTCTTTCATTTAATGCTGTCTCTGTTCAAACTCATCTCTTTAGAGAGACTTCCCTAGACCATGCCTTCCTGTCAGCCTATGCTAGCTGTTGGGCATCTACACCTGTTGGCTCCTTTCACTGTCTTGCTTTGTACTATCATTTTGGGAGCTAAGGTTCTTTCTAGCAATTGCTTCCTCCCTCTGAATTGCCTGTATGTGTCCTGGGGCCATTTCGTGGGCTGGTTGAAGAGGCTATGTGAGAGGTAGGAGTGGATTCCAGACACTAATCCAGGCTCTAGTCCAGTTTCTTTGTGTGCTTTCTCTTTGTCTTTTGTTGTGGGTTATCAAGGGGCATTTGGGTCAAAAGTAGAGCCAGTCTCATTTTCTTCTAAGGAGGACCTGATTTTCTAGAAATTCACCCATCCCATGAGCCCTTTCTGCTGGTTGAGAGGTCTGTCCCAAGCAGTGCATGACATTTGTAGACCACATGTAGAGCAGGTATTTGACTGCTAGAGATGGAGCTGTAGTGATCAGGTCTAGGGAGGTTCGTGCCAAAGGGGTGGGCACCTCCCCACTTCATGGCTCCCAAAAGATCAGAAACAAGACACCCAACAAAATCCCATCCCACCCAAGGTGGGAGAGCATCTTCCAGACAACTGTGTTGTCTTGGTTCCTCCACCTGTCTAGATTTTGTCCTTGGGCCCTAACATCAGCACCCTTGCCCAGCCTGTGATCATGTGCTAACCATTGGTTGGTTCCTGAAGGATGAAGCCAGAATTCAAACTTGGATCTGACCTTGGACCTCATATTTCCCCCACCAACTCACCTTATTGCTTTTGTTCTCTTGATAAGAAGTCATTAGAGGAAATGTAGATGCCAATAAGGAAGTGGGAGATGTGGATGGAACTGGGGCCTTAAGGGAGGTATTAATTTTGCAAGGTGGTTAGTTCAATGCTGTGTCATATTCCAGGTAAGGCTGTGCCTTGACCCTATTTCCAAACTAGAATCATCACGGCTTTTATTTAGTGGGGTGAAGGCCCAGCAACCTTGGGAGCA